TGCATGTATATATGTATGTGTGTATGTACGTATGCTTGTATGTAGGTATGCCTGGATTGTTGTATGCGCGCGGTTCTAAGGCAACATAGACATATTACGTAGCACAAGTGTCTGTACTACAGAAGATGTATTGAGGTGGGCCTCAAGACTCATTCCTGGCTGAAGGCATCCTGAGTAAGGAGCCACTATCAAAGGACTCCGGTTTTGCAGGGCCACCTGAATAATAATTCATCCCTCAAAGGGTTTGTGTTTGGTGAACGCTTGGCACAGGGACCCTCATTGAGGACTCCGTCCTTCAGGGATCGTGGTTGAAGGAATCCTTCACACAAGGCTCCCTCCCAAGGATCCCGCATTGATGGAGTACTTGCGAACGATCCCGTAGCAACGGCATCTTTACTAAGAGCTCATTGCCCCCAGGCATCCGTACCAAAGAAGCCCTCAGTAAGGGTCCTACATTAAGGGCGTCAGTCTTGCGGAGTTTTTGCGAAGGCAACCCCGTATAAAGGAAGCGTTCGGTCAGCATCCGTTTCTTCAGGATGTTTGCGTTGCTATCCGTATTTCAAAAAGGTACTTTCGACAAAACATCTGTACCGAATGCATCCTTACAGCGGGCTCCGTAATGGCACCCTTGCAACGGACTCATCATCGAATAGTCCTTACTAAGGACAGTTGATTACAGGTGCCCTTACTGAGATACCCTCGATGACAGACATCCTTATCACAATTCCCGAAGAAAAACCATTCTCCGTAAGGGCTCCGTACAAGAACACATCCTTACTTACCAAGGGCTCTCACTGGGGGCTAATCCCAAGTCGTATAAGCTTGGAATTTGCGTATGCATGTGCGTATGGTCCGTATACATGTGCGTATGGTCCCAGAACGCACCCATCAACTTGTTGACGAAGTGGAAACGGTTCTATTGGCCCAAACAAAATCGACGTTGCATGTCAGTAGTGGGCGGAAATAGGCCAAGACCACTCGCTCTATAAACATAGGCATGTCTGTACACACATGTATATATGTATATCTATATATATAGGTGTGTTTATGTACGTTTGTATGTGTTTAACACTGGATGTATGTGTGTATGTATGTCTGTTTGTGTGTATGTATGTCGCTGGTTGTGATGTAGCGGAATGCAATGTACAGGTCTGTGATGTAACGTATGTGTGGAATGTGCGTCATGTGTGTATGTGCAAATGTATGTATACATACGTAGACGCTTGTATGTATGTATGTATGTATGTATGTATGTATGTATGTGTATATGTATGTATGTCGGTGTGCATGTATGCGTGTCTGTATGCGTGCGTATGTGTGTAGACGTGCGTGTGTGTATGTATGTAAGTATGTGTGTAATAATGTTTGTGTGTATGTATGCATGCATGTATGTATGTATGCATGTATGTGTGCAGTGATGGATGTCCGTGTGTATGCGTGTATGCATGCATGCATGCCGGTATGCATGTATGTATGTATGTGTGTATGTACGTATGCTTGTATGTAGGTATGCCTGGACTGCTGTATGTATGTATGTATGCATGTATTTACCTATATATATACACATATGCATGTACGTGTGCATGTATGATTGTACGCCTGTGTGTATGTATGCATGTATGCACGCGTGTGTGCATGTGTGTATGCCTGGGTGTATGTATGTCTGTATGTAGGTATGTATGTGTGTATGTGTGTATATGTATGTAGGTATGTATGTGTGTATGCATGTATGCATGCATGCATGATGTATGTATGTATGTATGTATGTATGTATGTATGTATGTATGTTTGTATGTATGTATGTATGTATGTAGGTAGGTAGGTGTGCATGTATGCTTGTTTGTTTATTAGTTGGTTTGTATGTATGTATGGATGTGTTCCTCTAGATTTACACCCATGTCTGTTGACAATCATGTATGTTACCCTTGTTTCTACATATCTACGTCTAGTCCATTCCAGCCTGCTGCTCCCAGACTCCTCACAACGCGTTTTTCCCATCAAGTTGACCCCCTAGAGAACCGGGCCCCTTCCCCGGGACCGGCTTGTCATCCCAAGCCTTTTTGTTGACGGTCTTGCGGCCCAGCCAGGGCTCCCAGAGGGCGAAAATAGGAAACGATTGTCTGTCGTGATATATTTCATGACGCGAGTGGGTCAAAATACTGTACCATAACCTCTCACAAAGACTTCCACGCGTAGTCGCCGTCACGTCTTCTTCTGCTCGCGTTTGGTCTTGTCTAGAAAACCTTATCTGCAACGTCAGGTGGTAAGTGAAGTAAGTGTGGCCCGCCTTGATTGGCTCGGAGTTATGCAGGGAGGAACCTCTCTCAGCGTGGGGCGTTGAGCTCCCGGCGGTGAAAGATTCAGCATTCGTTCCCCGCGGTTGCTGCGGCCACGGAGCTGCGGCGTCTGCGTTTGCTGCATGCTATGGCGCGCGCGATGCCTTGGAGGCGTGCCTCTGGCGATCGTGGCCGCTCAAGCATTCATGACTCTTGGCGCCAGCGGCTTTTCAGAGTTCTTGGGCTCGATTCGGTGCTCGCCGTGGTTGCGGGCCAGATCCGCATCCATGTCCGCTGCGTCTTGGAGCTTCGGGGCCCCTTCCCCAGACATCCCAGGCGCAGTGGACACGGACATCACAGCCTGTCGGAGGTTGATAGACCTCCTACCCTGGCACGTCGATTCGCGAATTGGCCGTTTTCGGTTCGCGAGAGGGCGTCGCGGCCGTCATTTTTGCGGGTCCAGGTCCGTCGGCTTCGGTCCTGGGCCGTTGTCACTGAACGGTGGCTTGCTGAAAGGAGGTCTGTCCACCGCCGAGCCTGGCCCCCCAGAGGCCAGGGCCCCCCTGCGCCTCTCTGCCTCTGGGCGCCCTCTCCCCAGGACGTGCAGGGACACGAGACCCTGCCCGCACGGCGGTGCTGCCGCCCGGGCCGCCAGAGTTCCGTCAAGCATGTCTTCCTACGGTCCTGCAGGTGGATTTTGGATAACAGCGACACGTGATCCAAACGGTGCTCACACAGGATCCATCCAAAAATCCATCGACATTCGCCCCCAGACTATTTTTGGCTGATCCTGCATGCTCCGCCTGGTGTGGGACGGGCCCGACGTCACGCTGGAGGGGACGTGCTGCGCAGACCGTGCCCCCCTCCTCCTCCTCCTCCTCCTCCTCCTCCTCCTCCTCCTCCTCCTCCTCCTCCTCCTCCTCCTCCTCCTCCTCCTCCTCCTCCTCCTCCTCCTCCTCCTCCTCCTCCTCCTCCTCCTCCTCCTCCTCCTCCTCCTCCTCCTCCTCCTCCTCCTCCTCCTCCCCCCCCCCCCCCCCCCGAGGATGCAGTGCCTGGGCCGCGCCGCGCTGCCCGTCGACGTCCGGGCGGCGCCCGCCGAGGGCGGCGCGTGGCAGCGCCGGAGGGCACGGCTGGAGGCCCCCCCCCCCCAGTCGCCCGCCCGCCCGCCCGCCGGGGACTCTCGGAGCTGGAGCCGTCGCCTCCTCCTCCTCCTCCTCCTACTCCTCCTCCGCCTCCTCCTCCTCCTCCTCCTCCTCCTCCTCCTCCTCCTCCTCCTCCTCCTCCTCCTCCTCCTCCTCCTCCTCCTCCTCCTCCTCCTCCTCCTCCTCCTCCTCCTCCTCCTCCTCCTCCTCCGGCTTGTGTCCATGTCCACTGCGTCCCGGACCGGCTGGAGAGGGAGTGGAGGAGCAGGTGCCCATGCCGCTGCCCTCGCCCCGGCTTCGCCTTCTGTGGGCCACCCCTGGGTGGCCTTCGTCGCCAGCGGTGGCGTCGCCTCGAAGTGCTGGTCACAACGCACCACCCTGGGAGAGGTCCGTGGCGGCGTCCGACGGACTCTTGCGCATACAGCTCGTCAGGAGGAGGAGGAGGAGGAGGAGGAGGAGGAGGAGGAGGAGGCTTGCTGGTTTTAGGAGGTGGCGCTTCCCGCCCGCTGGGCGATGTCAGCCGCCTGTGGGAGACCCTGCAAAGTTCCTCCCAGTCCTTTGTTTGCCCTTCCTCCTCCTCCTCCGCGCAAGACTATGTACGGCCTGGCGCCGCGAGCTGTGCAAATGTTGTGCCAGCGTGTGCCCGGCATGCGCTTGGCATGGGCGGAAGCTGGATTTTCAGGCGGCGCCCGCGGGCCCCTGTTGGCCAGCCACTGACGGCCTCGCACCAGTCGGTCGTCTTTCGGAGCAGCTCACCCGCACGCTGCCCCCCTTGCTGCAGCCGCGCTGCGCATGTCGGCGTTGGTCCGCCCAGCCGCTCGCTTGACGCCCGCAGTGACCTCCTCAGTCGGGCATCCCTCCTCCCTCGCCCCGCCTCCGCAGCTGCTTCCTTTTCCCACTCCCCGAATTGGCACAAGTAGGCCCGCGCGCACCCTGCCCGGGTCCGAATGAGCCTTCCGACTTTGGCCTCCAGAGTTGTTATTTCGCTCGTGGTTTTTATATTGCAGGGTTTGTCCAGGTTGCTGGGGAGGGAGATCGCGCAAGTTGCACAGATGCGGAAGTACGGCGTGTGCGGCCATGTGCGTGCATGGCTGGACCTTCAGACCAGCGACTTCGTGGGCATGGATCATGGAGAGGCATAGCATGTGCGGGGAGGCGGCGGCGTCAACGTTGCCCCGCACAGAAGCGCACAGGTGGGTGTGCACGCAGTATGCGACATGTGCGTAGAGAGAACGCCGGAACAATGAACTGAACACTGACGCAATGGTCATCATAATGAGCCCTGCGTATGCTACCACCGTCTGTCCTTTTACTTTTATGTGCCTCCTTTTACGCATTATGATATGAGGGTGGTTTGTCCTTTCGTTTCTGTAGATTTGCAAAGGAAAGCGTGAAAAGGGTGTGGAAATTAAAGAAAAGGAGGGGGAGGTGGAGGAGCATGAGGATCACGAAGCCGTCTTTCCATCGACCCTCTCGCTCCCCCCGTCTCCTCCTCATCCCCTTCTCCCCCAGCTTTCCTGCTTGTGTCTGCATCCTTCCCTTCCCTCTCCTCGCTGCCACCACCCAGTTTGCGCGCGCCCTCGCTCAAGGCTTGATTTCCCCAGGCGCGGCGGCCACTGCTGCTCCCGGCCCTGCTTCAACATGTCGGGGGCGGCCAAGAGGGGCGTGATATCACTGCCGGGGCCATCGTTCCAGGGAGGAAACACCACCCGGACCCGACCATTGGCGTTTGCTAAACGGCCCTGTGCGTTGACTGAACAGCCCGGCCCTGTTCGACTCTCCCCCTGGGTGCGTTTACGACACGGCTCCGCTTGCCGGGTGGATTTTTGGGGGTGGATCTTGTGGCCTCTCGTCGCATCTCCCAGGGCCCCTGCCCACCCCCACTCTGGGCCCCGCACCTGCCTCGGGCTGTGATCTGCGCCCCCCCCCCTTGCACGGGCGCCCCCGATCATGGCCTCCAGACGTCGGCAGAAGGCCCGCGCACTGGCAGCGTCCATCCTCTGCGTGGTCCCGCTCGGCTTCCGGACGGGGCTCCATGCCGCCTCGCTGGCGGCGGAGCTGCCGGAACAAAAAAGACGGCACGGGCGGAGACCTGCGGAGCTTCGCGCGGACTTTTTTGGGCCCCCCTCCCCCTGGCGCGCGGAGCGCGTCAGGGGTGGCGCCGCTGGCGCCGTCGGGGGGGGCTAGCACCGATCCAAGGAAACCCGCTCGGACCTGCCAAAGCTCGATTATGCGTGTGCTGTTGTTTTGTCGGGGGAGCGTAAGACCCGGGTTTGCCAGGACTCGGGTTCGCCATCGTTTTTTGACGACCGCGCCTCGGATTTTGACGAGGAGGAGTTTCGTGGGATGTCTCCAGCGGGAGGCCTCGTCAAAATGCAGGCTCGGCCTCGTCATTTTTTTGACGACCTCGTCGGGGGTTTCCGAGTCCCCTGTACCCGGGTCTTACGCTTCCCTGATTTTGGTCTTCCAGGAGCACGGTGGTCCGCCAGGGGGCACGGAGATCCGCGGTCGTTTGGCCATCCTCCAGGCCAGGGCGCCCAGGAGCAGCCAGACACAATCGGGGGTGGACAGAACCCCCACCCTGACACGTCGATTAGTGAATTGTCCGTTTTCGGTTTTCGAGAGGGCGCCGCGGCCGTCATTTTCCAGGCTTGCGCCCGCCAGGTTTGGGCCCGAGGTCGTTTTCACTAAACCACGTTTTACTAAAGGGGGTTATGTCCATCCCCGAAACAAGATTCCCGTTCGGCAGGGCCACGCTTCCGAACGGTCAGAGGCTGGCTGGAGTTTCTCAGCCGCTGAGCGGCTTAGAAGTTCCCACCGGGCGCGTTCCACGAGTCTCAAAATGCCTACATACTCGCAAACGTCCAGAAACAAAGATGTCTTCCTCTACGTAACGTATCCTACCCCCCCCGCGGCGGATTCAGGCCATTTGCTAGTATACACTTTGCGAGCAGTGGAACGCGCTTGTTTTAAATTCCGGTGGGGGCTGTCACCCGGCAACACCCTGGGCGATGATAATACAGCGGGCTCCAGGCCCGCTCGACATCTTCTTCATCATTTCAGGGATTGCTCGCTGGCTTTCGCCACTCCGCCGACCCCTTAGGGCCCGCGGATGCCGAGATCAGACGTGATCATTGGAAGTCGATTCATACGTTGCTGTTATGATCCCCTTCTTTCTTCTTTCCTGTCCTTCTCCTTCTCCTTCGCGCTCCCTCCCCTCCGCCCTCCGACTCCTCCGGTGAACTAGTTGTTTTTGTTCCGTATGCCCACTGACTGTGACGTTCCTGTTTTTTTCTCGTTGCCCCATCGATCTTCGATTCCGAATCGTCGGTCCCACGACAACGCCGCCCAAAAGACAGGCACCCAGGGCACCGAAAGCATTTAGCGTTGTATCTTTCGTCTGCGCGGGGCCCTCCGCCTCTCGTCCAGCCCCCTCTCTTGGAGCCAGCTTTAAGTTGGGCCTGTCCCTCTACAGGGGGGATGTTCAAGAATAGTCAAAGCATAGTCGGAGGATTATTGAATCGCTTCGCTCATTCCGCCGGCCCATTTCGCATGACTGAGCCTCTTGGGGCCGCTGGGGGGCCTCTTCAGCGTCGCTTGGGGGCCTCCTGAGGGCCTCTTGGGGGCTTTGGGGGCCTCTCAGGGGCCTCTTGAGGCCTCCTGGGGGCTTCTCAAGGCCGAGGGCTAGAAGTTTTGTTTTGTGTTCCCCCTTTGGGGCATCGCTTGGGGCCCTCTTGGGCCCCACTTGGGCCGTCTTGGATGCCTCTGGGGCCGTCTTGGAGCCCTCTTGGGCCATCTTGGGGCCTTCTTGGGAGCTTCTTGGGCCCTCTTGGGGCGATCTTGGGGGCCTCTTGGGCCGTCTTGGGGCGTCGGGAAGCCGAAAAGATGGACACGCCAAAATCTGCCCAAAACCTAAGGAAAAGTAATGAATTTTGCCTCTTGGGGCCCTCTGGGGAGTGCTCTTGGAGGCCTCTTGGGGCGTCTGGGGGCCATCTTGGGCGTCTTGGAACGATCGTGTGGCATCTCGGAGCACTCTTGAAACATCTTGGAGGGCTCTTGGCGGCCTCGTGGCTCTTCTTGGGGCTCTCTGGAGGGCCACGGGGGCGGCGCCCAGGAGGAAAACCATCTCTGACCCGAGTCTGCCGGGGATCGCCCGGGGTACTTTTCGTCCGGGGACCCCCAGGGGCCGCCCCGCGCGCGCGAAGTAGAAGTATTATCTAGCAGTTACCTGAGATCTTAGCACGCCACTGGCCCGTTGGGCCGGCGAATGTTTTGAATATTTCCCAACCATCCTATGGTGTTGGGTCCTCGTTTTGAAGAGACGGTGCCCGCGTCCTCTCCTCTCCTCCTCTTCCCCCTCCTCCCTCCTCCCCCTCCTTGCCTCTGCTCTCGGCACACCTCTCACGCGTTTCGTAGCCCCATAGGGAGCTCCACCGAAGGCCCCAGTGGGGGTGTCCACATGCGGTTCCCCCACCCAGGGCAGCGTTTCGTGGCCCCATAGGGAGCTCCACCGAAGGCCCCAGTGGGGGTGTCCACATGCGGTTCCCCCACCCAGGGCAGCGTTTCGTAGCCCCATAGGGAGCTCCACCGAAGGCCCCAGTGGGGGTGTCCACATGCGGTTCCCCCACCCAGGGCAGCGTTTCGTAGCCCCATAGGGAGCTCCACCGAAGGCCCCAGTGGGGGTGTCCACATGCGGTTCCCCCACCCAGGGCAGCGTTTCGTAGCCCCATAGGGAGCTCCACCGAAGGCCCCAGTGGGGGTGTCCACATGCGGTTCCCCCACCCAGGGCAGCGTTTCGTAGCCCCATAGGGAGCTCCACCGAAGGCCCCAGTGGGGGTGTCCACATGCGGTTCCCCCACCCAGGGCAGCGTTTCGTAGCCCCATAGGGAGCTCCACCGAAGGCCCCAGTGGGGGTGCCCGCATGCGGTTCCCCCACCCAGGGCAGCGTTTCGTAGCCCCATGGGGAGCTCCACCGAAGGCCCCAGTGGGGGTGTCCACATGCGGTTCCCCCACCCAGGGCAGCGTTTCGTAGCCCCATAGGGAGCTCCACCGTAGGCCCCAGTGGGGGTGTCCACATGCGGTTCCCCCACCCATGGGCAGCGTTTCGTAGCCCCATAGGGAGCTCCACCGAAGGCCCCAGTGGGGGTGTCCACATGCGGTTCCCCCACCCAGGGCAGCGTTTTGTAGCCCCATAGGGAGCTCCACCGAAGGCCCCAGTGGGGGTGTCCACATGCGGTTCCCCCACCCAGGGCAACGTTTCGTGGCCCCATAGGGAGCTCCACCGTAGGCCCCAGTGGGGCTGCCGCATGCGGTCCCCCCCCCACACAGGGCAGCGTTTCGTAGCCCCATAGGGAGCTCCACCGAAGGCCCCAGTTGGGGTGCCCGCGTGCGGTTCCCCCACCCAGGGCAGCGTTTCGTGGCCCCATAGGGAGCTCCACCGAAGGCCCCAGTGGGGGTGCCCGCATGCGGTTCCCCCACCCAGGGCAGCTTTTCGTAGCCCCATAGGGAGCTCCACCGAAGGCCCCAGTGGGGGTATTCGCATGCGTCTCCCCTACCCAGAGGTAGCGCCACCGAAAACGATATTCATATTTGCAATATTCACAACTGCATATGGTTGGGTCCTTCGCCAGGCTAATTTTTTTGAGCATCATTGGGGCATTTTTACCTAACAGCGAAGACTGATAGGCTTCTAGTGGGCTAAAAAAAGCTCACAGATCACTCCACAGGGGGGTCCGGGCAGGTGTTGGGAGTTGCCGGGCGGGTTGAGTCCACCTCGTTTTTCACCAACAGTCACACACTTCGTGCTCTTCGAGTTCCCAGAACTCCATTCCCAGGCTCATTCTGAATAACCGGATGCAACAGTCACACACTTCGTGCTCTTCGAGATCCCAGAACGCCATTCCCGGGCCACATTTAGAATAACCGGATGCAACAGTCACACACTTCGTGCTCTTCGAGTTCCCAGAACTCCATTCCCGGGCCACATTTTGGTGCCCGGAGCCAACTGTAGGCCACTTCGTGTCTTCGATTCCAGAACTCCATTCCTGGGCCAATTTTTCAGCAGGGGCAAGAGCACGACGAGGAGGAGGACGAGCAAGACCAGGAGGACGAGACGGAGCAGGGGAGCAGGAGGAAGAGGAGGAGGAGGAGGACGAGCAGGAGGAGGAGGACGACCAGGAGGAGGAGGACGGACCAGGAAGAGGAGGAGGAGGTGGAGGAGGGGAGGGGGAGGAGTACCAGGAGGAGGAGGAGGAGGAGGAGGAGGAGGAGGGAAGAGGAGGAGGAGGAGGAGGAGGACGAGGACGAGGAGGAGGAGGAGGAGGGGGGGGGAGAGTACCAGGAGGAGGAGAACGAGGACCACCAGGAGGAGGAGGAGGAGGAGGAGGAGGAGGAGGAGGAGGAGGAGGAACACCAGGAGGAGGAGGACGAGCAAGACGAGGAGGACGAGAACGAGGACGACCAGGAAGAGGAGGAGGAGGAGGAGGAGGGGAGGGGGAGGACTACCAGGAGGAGGAGGAGGAGGAGGAGGAGGAGGAGGAGGAAGAGGAGGAGGAGGACGAGGAGGAGGAGGAGGAGGAGGACGAGGAGGAGGAGGGGGGGGGAGAGCACCAGGAGGAGGAGAACGAGGACCACCAGGAGGAGGAGGAGGAGGAGGAGGAGGAGGAGGAGGAGGAGAGAGCACCAGGAGGAGGAGGACGAGCAAGACGAGGAGGACGAGAACGAGGACGAGCAGGAGGAAGAGGAGGAGGAGGAGGAGGAGGAGCAGGAGAAAGAGGAGGAGGAGGAGGAGGAGGCAGGCTGAGGCTGAGGCTGTGACTGCGACTGCCGTTGCCGCTGCGACTGTCATCGCGAATGCGACTACGACTGCGAGAACAGCAGAATTCGACAACTGGATTTTCATCTGAATCTTAAGGGGAATGCTTTCAGATATGCTTCTACACATCGCTGTTAGGTTGCTTTGCCGGGATAATTTGGTATGTTTTATTTTTCGTCCAAAATCCCCCTATAGGGGGACAGGCCCGACTTAAGGTCAGTTCGGGCCCCTCCTGGGCCTTCCTGGGGCCATATCAGGCTGTCTTGGTCTTCTCTCCTGGGTCCCCTGGAGCTGTCGTTGGCGCCTCTTGGGCCGTCCCCCGGGCCGACTGGACCCATCTTGGGGACCTCTTGGACGCCTGTTGGGCAGTCTTGGAGCAATCTCGGGGATCTGGGGCCGTCTTGGGCGAATCGAGCACCAACAGGAACGGATATGCTGAAAATGCCAGTTGTCCGCCAGAAATGGGCCGTCTTTGTTTGTCAAGGCCTTCGTCGGGGTCGTCCAATAGGCGGTTCAGCACATCGTGGAGGTTCCCGTAGCTGTTCTGAGAGCACCGTGGGCCTCCTTGAGGCCATCTGTGGAGCACACGGCGAGGCAACTTGGAGGCCGCGGAAACTGTCGGAGCCCGTCGGAGAGCAGAAGTTGGGCCGTCACCGCTGGGACTTCTGGTCCCGCCCCCCCTCCAAGCCGGAACGACCTCCCCAGGGAGGGGTTAGGGTCGGGCGGGTGTGAGTGGGAGATCGCCGGAGTGGGGGGTGAAGAAGAAGGGCCCTAAAGGGGCCTTTGAGGGCCACTCTTGGAGCCAGCCGGTGCCCAAGAGGGGCCCTGCAGGGCCCCTTGAGGGGTTTTGTGCTTCACTCCCCAAGTGGGTCGCGCCCCATCACCACCCGCCCGTTTGGGGAGGGGCAACTTCTCACGCGCCGAGTGACCCCGAGAGGCCGACGGTCTTGATTGTCATCCCCGAAGATTGTGGAGAGGACGATCAAGATCTCCCAGCGACGACGACGAAGACAACGAGCAGGCCTGGGACCCAGTGCATCGTCATCGGTCACAGGGCGCTGCTACTTGGCGCCCATGGCATGTCTCAATCGCCATGTCTCAATCACCATGTCTCAATCGCCAGTCTACATTCTACATTCTACATTCTACATGTTTGAATGACCGCCATTATACATGCTACATTTCTAATCTTGGCCCCCTTGCCCTCCTGCTCCTGGTGCCAGAGGAAGCAGAGTCACTGGCGCCGCCATCGCGAGAAAGAGAGGCGAAGGGTGGGGCGAGGGGCGGAGGTGGAGCAAACCTGTCTGGAGTGCTCTTGTGGGGCTTCCTGCGCACCCGCATCCCGCGAACCCCATACCAGAGGGGAGCTGCTCGTTCTGGGTCGTTCTCTGATGGCACTGGGGCCCGAACTGGACCGCCTGGGGACCAGAGTTTGAGAAGAAACGCCCGTCGTTGTGTTGCAACGTCTGGAAGTCGGGGGGCTGAGGTGCAGGCCTCCAAAGTGGGGTCCGAGTAAATGGGGTCGGAGGATTGCTCAGCATCGCCGATACATAGGCGATGTGGCTCGATGTGGAGCCTGATTTACTCCACGCCGACGTGGCCGATGTATCGGCCCTGCAGCGCGATCATCCGACCCCATCTGCTCGGACTTCATTTTGGGAGGTCCCTATGACCGGGGCCCAGCGACCGCGGACGGAGATCGTGCTGTGTCGTCACGGCGAGACGGACTGGAATGTCCAGGGCAGGCTGCAGGGCCTGTCGGACATCCCGCTGAACGGCGTTGGCCGGTCGCAGGCCCTGGAGATCGCAGCAGCTGTAAAGGCTGATGGGAACTGCATGGCGAGGAGGAGGGAGAGGGAGGAGGGTCAGCGAGGTGCGCCTGCGTCATATCTGACATCCCTCCACTCCCATCCATCATCCATCCCCTCCCATTGCGCTGAGTTGTTCCTCTATCCGGCGACTCGCGTCGTAGCGGGCCTGGAGGCCCCCAAAAGACCCCATCGTGTAAACAGGAGCCGTGCTCATTGGAGGGGGAGGTGGTGGATGAGTAGGACGATGAGCATGACTTAAGAGGTGGATGATGAAGGAGGAGGAGGAGGGCGACGACGACGAGGAGAACGAGAGGGAAGGCGTAGGAGGATGAAGGGAAGGAGGACGAGGGGAAGGAGGAATGGGTGGGAGAGCGAGGAAGGGGGAGGAGGAAGGAGGGCGAGGGGAAGGAGGCAGGGGTAGGAGGACGAGAGGAGGGAGGCGAGGAGAACGAGAAGGCAGGGGCAGGACAGCAGCAGCAGACGCAGGAGGGCGAGGGGAAGGAGGCCTCTCTTTTTGGGGCCTGTCCGGGGCCCTATTTGGGCCTGCGGGCAGCCGCGGGGCTCTTCTTCTGGGGAGGCCACGCCACGCCACGGGCGGGAAGCGAGATCCCTCCTCCTCCTCTTCCTCCTTCTCCTCCTCCTCCCACTTCTCCTCGTCCTCCTCCTCCTCCTCCTCCTCCCACTTCTCCTCGTCCTCCTCCTCCTCCTCCCGTATTCTTCCGGGCCCCTCTTAGGCGCCGCGGGTGCCTCTTGGGCCATCTTGGGGCCATCTCGGGCCGCATGAGAACCGCTTCGGGAGCACACCGTGCCGTCTCGAGACGATCCGGCAGTCCTCGCGGGCGACCTTCCTGGAGCGTCGGAAGCCCGAAAAGGCAAGAACGCCACGTGTCGAACTCCGATGGAGCAACATGTGATTTGGCACATTCGGGCCCTCCTGGGCGGCTCTTTTGTGCATTCTTGCGGCGTGTAGAGGCATTTGGCCGTCTTGAGAATCTGTTCTGCGTCGTGGAGCGCTCTTGGGCCGTCTCGGGACTCGCTGGGACCGTCATGGGGTTGCCTCCAGACTTCATTGGTCTGTCTTGGGGCCCTCTGGCATCCAGAATTCTGGGTCAGGGCTTTTGAATCGATGAATTATGGCTGGGGGTTCGATATTCGAGCTACGTAGGGACACTTCAACTCGTGCCTCGAGACACGGCGACAAAATTCTAGATATGCATGTGTTTCCATATGCGTAGGCATTTGTGTACACATGCGTAGGCATACATGTGTACACACGTAGACTGCCCAACAACCTGTATGAGGAGTGGGTTGACGAAGATGTTACAACAGTTGTGAAGGCTGGCGGCGCCAGCGTCGTCGTGGCATCTCCGCTGCTGCGGGCCCGCGACACCGCGGCCATCGTCGCTGACGAGTGCGGGGCGGACTTGAGGATCGACGCGAGGCTAAGGGAGGCGACCGCGTCGTCGACAACCGCACGCTCGTCTCCTCACCCTCAACCCTTCCCTCTCCTCCAAAGGCTCTCAGCCCCTCTCCTCACCCTCAACTTCTCCCTCTCCTCGCCCTCAACCCTTGTCCTCACCCTCAACATCCCTTCCTGGTCGTACTCCTCCTTATCCTCCTTGCCATATCTTCGTTGCACAGACATTGGCGGGATGGCCGCTACGGCTACAGGCCGTTGATCAACCAGCAACGCAACAAGATCAGAGCAGTGGATCGCGATGCACGCTAGGCAAAGGTGGGCAACGGCATGAACGCGAGCGGGCGGAAGGAACATTCAATTCGGAAATTCAAGCATTCGAGTACGTTGCAACCCCTGTGTAGGGCAAGGTGGCCCGCACCGAGGGCCAAGAAGGGTCCTATGTCATTGGTGCCACTGCCACTAGCGCGCCAGTGCACAATTCTTAACGCTTCGCGTATCCCTACCAGCCGTGCACGCTGCTGCGCCCTTACCAGTCGCTGGACCAAGGGCTCGGGCGCATCTCAGTTGTGGAAGGTTCTCTCTGGCTACTCTGTTTCCACACCCTGGATGCGTGTTCTGACGTCGCGATGGTCCGCATTCGCCGTCAGGGTTTCCCCGCTGGACTGTGTCACCAGTCAGTCTGTGGTACCCGTCAGGCTCCCTGGATTGACGTCTTCGGGACCGTTTCCTGTTTGTTCGTATCCGAACTGTTGGGAACGCCTTACGCGCCATTTTGGCTGCGCTCTGCTTCCTCGGTGCCTGTGTTCAGACTCCCTGGATGCGCCGTTGCATGTTCCTTACAGGGGCTGCCCTGCAGACTCCCTGGATTGCACGCCTTGGCTCAGACGCCCTGGGTCGCTGCTGCCTGCCGCCTGACCGCGGCCTCGCGCGCGCCCGCTCCCTAGTCGCGGCCGCAGCCCGACCGTGACCGCCCGCCGCTGGCGCTTCCGCCTGCGGCTTAAAAAAAAGTATCCCTACCAGCCCATCCAGAAACAATGTCCATGAGAGTTAACGGGGGGAGAGAGGAAGAGACACGCATAGTCAAACAGCGAGGGGGGCTTAATAAGGTCCGTGGCCATCTCGAGCAGTCTTGGAGCGGTCTTGGGCCCCTCGGAGCACCTTGGGAAACATCTTGAGCCAGCTTGGGTTATCTGAGCCATTTTGGAGGTCATCTTGGGCCCTCTGAGGCTGCTCGGGGGCCTCTTGGGTGCCTCTCGGGTGCCTCTTGGAGCTCTTTTCGGGCCTCTTGGGGCGCTCTTGGAGCCCTCTATGGGGCCTCTTGGGAGCCCTGGAGGGCCTCTTGGAGCCATCTTGGAGGCGGTCGGTCAAAAGAGGTGGGGTACTCGATTTCCCGCCCCGCCCTCGGAGGCCACGTTCCTCGTGAGCGGTGTCCAAGAAATGGCCCTCCCCGGGGCAGAAAAAAGAAGCCTTTGATGCATTGGCCCCTTCCCAACAAAAACCTTTGGGAGGGGAGGGGGGTGGTTCTCCTCCCCGAAGGGAAGAGGGTTGTGGAAGAGGAAAAAGACCCTCGTTAGATCACCGGTCGCCCAAAGGGCTGGTGGGATTTGTAGACCCCCTTGTTAAGACCGCATCAGAAGACCCCCACTTCTTGCTCAACATCCCACACGTACGACGGAGGAAAGGAGACGGACGAGACGAGGTGGAAGAGGAGGAAACGGAGGAGGAAATGGAGATGTAGGAGGAGAAGGAAGAGGATCAAGTGGAAGAGGGTGGAGGAGAAGAGGGAGGAGGAGGAGGAGGAGGAGGAGGAGGAGGAGGAGGAGGAGGAGGAGGAGGAGGAGGGGAGGGGAGAAGGGGGAAGGTGTATGAAGAGGAGGAGGTGTGATGGAAGAAGGAGGTGGGAAAAGAAAAGAAGAAGGAGGAGGGGGGAGGAGGAACGGAGAAGGAGAGGGAGGAGGAAAATGTGGAGAGAGGAGGAGAAGGATGGAACGGACGGAGATGGAGGAAGGACATGTGCAGGGGGAGGATGCGGAGGTAGAGGAGAGGAGGAGGAGGAGGAGGAGGAGGAGGAGGAGGAGGAGGAGGAGAAGGAGGACGACGAGGCGAAGGAGAAGGAGGAGGAGGAGGAGGAGGAGGAGGAGGAGAACAGAGGGAGGGCCAGGGAGTTGGCCCCTCCAGGCGAGCCTGGGGGTCATGGAGGGCAGGACAGCCGAGGAGATCAACGCCACCCACCCCGAGGTCTGGGCGGCGTGGCTGGCGTCCGAGCCCCTGCCCCGGCGAGCCCCTCCGCCTCCGCGCGCGTTCTGCCGCCCCTTCGTGCGTCTCCTCTCCGTCCTCTCCCTCCGCTCCCTCCTCTCCCTTCCCTCCCTCCATCTCCTCCTGGCTCTCCTTCCTCTCCCTCCTCGCCTGCCCTCCTCCCGAGCCTCCTCCTCTTCTGCTGTTCGCCTCTGCTTCCTCGCCGTCCGTCCTTCCTCTCCTCTCGCCTTGCCTCTCTCTTCCCTCGCTGCCCTACCTTCTTATCCCTTCTCTCATGTCTGTTCTCCCGTCCTTTCTCCTCTTCCATCCTCTGTTTCCTCTCATTCCTCTCCCGCCTTCCGATCCTCCCATTCTTGCTTCCTCCATATCATCTTCTCCGTCCCCCCTTCGTCGCCTTTCCTGTTGTTCTGTCCTTCCTCTTTCTCTTCCCTTCTTCCTTCCTTTCCCTCTTACCTCTCCTCTCCTTCTCCCCTCTCCTTTCATTCCTTCCTCTCCTTCCTCTCCTCTCCTCCTTCCTTTCCCCTCCTCCTTCCTCTCCCCTCCTCCCTCCTCTCCCCATCGTACTTCCTCTCTTCTCCCTCCGCGCCTCCTTCCCGCCCTTCTTCTCGTCCACCTTCCAGCGCCGTCCTCTCACCGCCCCTCCCTTCCCCCCCCCCCGCCCCTCCCAGGAAACAGCCGCCCCCTCGCGCGCTTTTTTCGCGCGGAGTTGTGTGTGTGTGTGTGCGTGTGTGTGTGTGTGTGTGTGTGTGTGTGTGTGTGTGTGTGTGTGTGTGTGTGTGTGTGTGTGTGTGTGTGTGTGTGTGTGTGTGTGTGTGTGTGTGTGTGTGTGTGTGTGTGTGTGTGTGTGTGTGTGTGTGTGTGTGTGTGTGTGTGTGTGTGTGTGTGTGTGTGTGTGTGTGTGTGTGTGTGTGTGCGTGTAGTGTGTGTGGGGGGGCGGCCGCCTGCCGTGCCGCCTGCCGTGCCTCCCCGTTGCCGCTGCCGCGCCCGGCCTCCCATGGCGCGCGCGAGGCACGCACGGCCTCCTCGCCCGTGCCGTGCCCTGCCTGCGTGCCGTGCCGTGCCGCGCCCGGGCTTCCCCGGCTGCAGCACAGCGGAGCCCCGGAGTCATCAGGGGTCGCTCCTCCAGGGATCAGGAGGAGAAAAAACACACAGACACAATTCATCGTCGATTCCCCAGAAAATATGGGAACATATGGGAAGTGGGGGGGAAGACAGAAATCCAATAAATATGGGAAAATATGGGGAATATTGTTATTTGTGTCTATTTATTTGTGTGTCCCAGGGCCCCTTCAAGGGAGGCCCCCGCCAGAGCGAGGGGGGTCTTCGAAAAAGCAAGGTGGTTTGTATCAGGTGTCGTGCCCCTCCGACTCCTCCAGGGAGAGGCCCCGCCAGAGCGAGGAGGGCATTCGCAGACCATGTGATGTGTCAGGTGTCGTGCCGCTCGGGTCAGGGCTAGCTCGGGCTTGTTTTTCTTTTTGGAATCCGAGCCCGAGGTGCCCCAGGCCCGAGTTACCCCGGATAGCTCGGGCGCCCAGGGCTCCGAGTCATCAGGGGCAACTCGGGCCAGGGTTAACTCGGGTTCGCTTCTGTCAGTAATCCGAGCCCGAGTTACCCCGGGCCCGAGCTACCCCGTATAGCTCGGGCGCCCAGGGCTACAAATCATCAGGGGCAACTCGGGCCAGGGCTACCTCGGGTTCGCTTCTGTCGGCAATCCGAGCCCGAGCTCCCCCGGGCCCGAGTGGCCCGAGTTACCCCGGAGAAGTCGGGCGCCCAAGAACAGAGCTGCCGTGCCGCGCGGTGCCTCGTCCCGAGGCTGCGAAGACGTCGCCTGCCCCGCGCGTGCCGAGCCGCCCCTGCGTCCGGGGAGTGCGGGAGGGGGATGCCATGCCATGCCGTGCCGACCATGCATCCGATCATGCCCTGCTGGTGCGTAGGGTCCCTGTGCCGGTGTAGCTGGTGGCCTGGGGCCCGATGGCGAGCCCCAGAGAGAGAGAGGCCGGAGTCGAGGCAGCCGTCCAGATGGAGCCAGTCATGCTAGGGATCGGGCAGGAGCCATCTTTCCGAGGCGCCAGGGCGCCTTCTCTAGTGGACGGCGCAGCCCACGCCTCGGGAGGCACCGGACGGAGCCCTCAGCGCTTGGAGGAGGCAGCCCAGACCCCTGGCGTTGTGATTGTTCATTCCGTTGATCACCAGAGGCCTCGACCCTGTCCCGGGGGATGCGATGTCTCTGGAGACGGGACGGGGTGGGCATGGGCTGGCATCATGCACTGGCCCGCAACCAATAAGAAGCGCCATAGCTTCTATATTAGTGCGCAATACTGATCCGACTGATCCAATCATTTGTCCATGCGTCAAATTTTAAACGCTTCGCGTATCCCCACCATCTTCCTGGCGGCGATGCACACGGCACTCTCGTGTTCGCTCGACCCCGTGCCTGAGACGTGGATTGCCCTGGTCCTGGTCAGCTCTCAGACGTCGGCGACCCTGTTCGTGAGTGCGCTTGCCTTTTTTTCTGATCTGGTGGTTCAGGCGTGTTACGGTGTCGATTACATCCATCGTTTCCCTGGCTACTTCGCTGGACCGCCCGGGATCACCGCGTGGACGGTTGTATGCAGTATCAGTACTCCCCTAAGGAGTCTCGGTGTGCGACTATGGTGGCGACACCCTATGCACCAGTTTATGGCCAGTATGGATGCAGTGTGCTGGTGGTGGTCTTCCTGGCCACATCCTGGTACCCCCGCTCAGGTGGCTGGGCGTCGCATCGGCCTCAGCCCCGGCCCCTGGTCCCCCCAGCTCCATATGGCCCGGCCCCATCGTTGGCGCATGGGGTCCCTGAGTGCACGTGGTTCAGCCTGTGTTCGCCTGGCTGTCGGATGGTTGTGTTGACTACGTCCACGGTTCCTGGCGGAGATGCCCACGGCACTCTCGTGTTCGCTCGACCCCGTGCTGAGACGTGGATTGCCCTGGTCCTGGTCAGCTCTCAGACGTCGGCGACCCTGTTCGTGAGTGCGCTTGGCTTTTCCTGATCTGGTGGTTCAGGCGTGTTACGGTGTCGATTACATCCACCGTTTCCCTAGCTACTTCGCTGGACCGCCCGGGATCACCGCGTGGACGGTTGTATGCAGGGTCAGTACTCCTCTCAGGAGCCTCGGTGTGCGACTTGGGTGGCGCCACCCTGTGCACCAGTTTATGGCCAGTATGGATGCAGTGTACTGTTGGTGGTCTTCCTGGCCACATCCTGGTACCCCCGCTCAGGTGGCTGGGCGTCGCAGCGGCCTCAGCCCCGGCCCCTGGTCCCCCCAGCTCCATATGGCCCGGCCCCATCGTTGGCGCATGGGGTCCCTGAGTGCACGTGGTTCAGCCTGTGTTCTCCTGGCTGTCGGATGGTTGTGTTGACTACGTCCCCGGTTCCTGGCGGAGATGCCCACGGCACTCGTGTTCGCTCGACCCCGTGCTGAGACGTGGATTGCCCTGGTCCTGGTCAGCTCTCAGACGTCGGCGACCCTGTTCGTGAGTGCGCTTGGCTTTTCCTGATCTGGTGGTTCAGGCGTGTTACTGTGTCGATTACATCCACCGTTTCCCTAGCTACTTCGCTGGACCGCCCGGGATCACCGCGTGGACGGTTGTATGCAGTATCAGTACTCCCCTCAGGAGTCTCGGTGTGCGACTTTGGTGGCGCCACCCTATGCACCAGTTTATGGCCGGTACAGTCTCCTGGTAGCTGTTGCAGTGTACTAGTGGTGGTTTTCCTGGCCACATCCTGGTACCACCCCCGCGCCATTTTGGCTGCGCCCCAACCCTTGTTGGTCAATCGCGCATGTGCGCGCTCCTGGGCCTGGTTCCTGGCAGCTGCAGCCCGCACCCCCCCTTACGCCGGCCCGCCCGCTTAGGTGCTGCTTGGGTCGCCGGCCCGTCGGCGTTAGGCAATTCGGCTCTTGCGCGGCCCGCTCGGACCGTACTCGCCGCTGGCGCTCTCGCCTGCGGTTGCGACGCAAAAAGTATCCTCACCAGTCCCTGCTTGCCCGGCGTCCGACCTGCCTCGCTCCTGCGTACCCAGAAGTATCCCCACCAGCCCATCCAGAAACGATGCCCATGAGAGCTGACGGGGGGAGAGAGGAAGAGACATGCATAGTCAAAAACAGCGAGGGAGGCCGGCCTGGACGGCGTCATGTTGGGTCCATATCCGGGCCCGCGTGGGGGGGGGGGGGGGAGCGAAGAGGAAAAGGAGGAGAAGGAGGAGGAGGAGGAGGAGTGAGGAGGCAAGAGGAGCAACACGAGGAGAAGGAGGACGAGGATGAGGAGGACGAGAACGAAGAGAGTGAGGAGGAGGGAGGAGGAGGAGGAGGAGGGAGGGGGAGGAGGAGGTAGAGGACGATGGGGGAAGATGATAACGAGGAGAAGTAGGAGGGGGAGGAGGAGGAGGAGGAGGAGGAGGAGGAGGAGGAGGAGGAGGAAGATGACGACGAGGACGAGGACGAAAGATATGGACGAGAACGAGAGGACGAGGAGGAGCAGGGTGAGGAGAAGGAGGAGGAGGAGGAGAAACGGGAGGAAAACGAGGAGGAATATGAAGACGAGGAGGTCGACGAGGATGAGGACGAGAGCCATGAAGGGCCTCTTGGTGCCATCGTAGAGGCCGTCGGTCAAAAGAGGGAGGGTCCTCGATGTCTGCCCCCCCTCGGGGGGCCACGATCCTCGTGAAGGATGTCAAACATTGGCTCTCATACTGGCCGAAAAAAGGACCCTCTGACCCTTCGGTCCCCCTCCCCCCCCCCAAAAAAAACAGAGAGGGGAGGGGGAGGGGGCCCCTCCCCGAAGGGAAGAGGGGCTGTGGAAGAAAAAAATCACCCTTAGATCACCTGTCGCCCAAAAAGGGCTGGTGCGATTCAGGCGAAGCAGCATGCTCTCCCCAGAGGTCGTGGCCCCTTCCTGGGGACCAGTTTTTCATCTCTTGTCTTCTTGCTTCCAGTCCCAGGGTAATGCGGGATGACGACTAAGAAACAAATGGGAGAGAACGATTGCAACAATAGTGTTCTGCTATTTCTGCACATTTTTCTGACTGGAGGAGAACGATTACAAGAATAGTTCTCCAGCCCGCGGCCGGTTTTTCTAATCGTCATCCCGGGCGCCGCCGCGTGAACACGACCCCCGGTCATTTATTAATCGTCATCCTCCATTACGGCGAGGGTCCGCGGGTGCCGAAAATAAGGGAAAACCTCCCGTCTTGATATTTCCGTGATTTCGGCATCCGCGGAAAATGGGTTCACCGCTGTGTCCAGCCGCAGCGACGAGGAGGGCCCCCGAAGGCCACAAAGCCTCGAACCTCTGCCCTCGAGGTCCGAACCTCGATACTCGAGGGGGTCTGTCGAGGCCTCCTAGATGGGGTGCGAGTAGATGGGGTCGTTGGATCGCGCCGCATCGGCAATGCATCGGCGATGCTGCTCGATGTGGAGCCCGATCTTCTCAACGCCAGCGTCGCCAATACACCGCCGACGTCGCCGACGTCGCCGATGCATCGCCGATGCATCGGCGATGCATCGCCGATGTATCGCCGATGCGGCGAGACTCTCCGACCCCGTCTGCCCGGACCCCATCCAGGGGGGCCTCTAGTCTGGGAGTATGGGGGTCCGAGGCGCGACGCGCGAGGGTTCGCGCAGCCCCCGCACAGAGGCAAGCGAGGGCGGAGCCCTGCGAGGCCGTGGCGGCGCGGCTCGAGGATCGGCCTCTGAAGGTGCAGCCAGGCACCCTCGAGTGGACGGTCTCTTTGCGATGCTCGTTCTGTGGGCCTCTTCTGGGGCGTGCGTACCTCACGGATCTGTTCGACTCCAGTGCGACCCCAATTCGACTCCAGCTCGACTCAGGTTCGACTCAGTGTCGACTCAGGTTCGACTCAGGTTCGACCCAAGTTCGACGCAGGGTCGACTCGAATCGACCGACGATCGACGCAGCTTCCACGCACGAGTGGAGCGAGTGTCTCCAGGTAGGTCCTCAGAATGAGCATCCAAGACGCCCTCCAGTGGATTGTTTCTGGATCTCATGGGGAGGGTGGCGGTGTAGAACGCACCACTGGGAGCCAGCGACTGTACACCCGGCCACTCTCCCTGGAAGGCTCAGGGACAGCTCATCGGCGGCCGTTTGTGATTTCTCGCCCCCGACCCCCGACTCCTCCACGAAAGATCGAGCCGCCCAGAAGAAGAGGAGAGCTCGGCCCAGGGTGCTATTGGGACGCACCCCATACCGAGGATGGACGCCCCCCCCGTCGTAGATCCCCGAGCTGGGCTCCAACCTTCGGGCCCGTTCGACAACCCCACTGAAGGATGGATGGCCGACCTTCCCCAGGGTACTCTTTGCATCCTCTCCCCTCGGCCCATCCTTCGCGACGTGTGCTGGCCAACCTCGCTCGAAAGACGCTCGCATGGACCTTCAAGGCCCTTGCATCCTCACCGCGCATCCTTATGATACGGGTTGACTGTAGACGCCGACGCCTTCCCTGTTAATTCTGGTGGCGCGGCGGATCCGAGGAATTTTTGCATGACCGCCGCCTGGAGGATCAATTTGCGGGGCCCGCGGCAGGCGGTGGATATGGATCCATTCGGGCCCCCGGGGGCCAGCATTTATCCACATCCACCGCCCGCCGGGGCACCAGGACGTCGATTCCCAGGCGGTGGATCTGACAAATCCCCGCCTCGCAGAGGAGGCCATCCTCGAGGCCGCGGCGGCGTTCCCGGCTGGGCGGGTGGTGGTGGTGACGCACGGCGCGGCCATCCCGCTCGGCTGGCGAAGGGTGTGGCTCGGGGGCCGCGTATCCCCAGGACGCCTCTGGTTCGGTGGCACAGCACCCTGTGGGGAAAGTAAACACGGGCATAAATATTAATCGGGGGCGGCAAAGAGGGGGGTGATGACTAGGGGGGGTGGATATCATGGCGTGGGCCATGATATTTCCTCAGATCTCATGGCTCCTCTTCTTGTTTCAATACGTTCCCTGGCCCCCCCTGGGGCCGCGCACATGCCGCCAGCCATGATTTGCCCCCCCCCCTCCCCCTCTTGGACACCCCCCTCTTGGCCGCTCCCGAATTATGTCCCGCGAACATGTTGGAACAGATCGGACGTGGAGGGCACGACGATTGTTTTTATTCAAACATGCAATATCTGGAGAACCTTGGATTCGTGTCCACTTGTTTGTGTCTCCCTGCGCCCCTTTCCTCAGGGGAGCCATGCGTGGCCTCGCGAGTCCGTCTTTCGAGTGCACTGGCTTGCGCTAGCGCCTGGTGGTCGATGAGAAAGCGCCGATTTGGCGTCGGTTTCGCGTCGATCAGCGTCGATTCGCAACAGCCATCAAGATGGCATGATAAGCTCACATGAGTTGTCACCGAACTCGCGTCGTCGAACACAACAGGACGGAAGGTGTTTGGCCGTGTTCGGTTTTCAGGGGCCCTCGCCGGTCCACGGGACCATGCACACAGGTATTCTAGATAGAAACCCGGCTCTTGGGAACGGGTCGGGACTTCTTGGCTCGCGATGCAGGAAAGAATAACCCACAACAGTTTACACATACATACATATATATATATATATGTGATGTATACATCGGATGTCTGGGTCTGTGAGACGCAATGGCAGAAGCAGAGGGGTCACTGCTGGACCCATGCTTGCTGGAGTGCCTATATCCGTAGATATGTCGATACCGTGCATCTGCCTGTGTGAATCAGGGAAGAACGTACACCGAATACCGCTATCCTTCTCTAGCTTTTCTCCACCTCGTTTGGCCTCCTGGGGTGCCCTCGTCGCCACGGCTGTGCTCGCGTCGAAGTCCTCGTGAGAGCGCGCCCCGGGACAGGTCCCGGGGATGCAAGATCTCGGCCCCCCTTTCTCCTGGCTTCCCCAGGCACGACGCCGTGGCAGAAGCCGAGGGATCACGGCGGAACCCATGCTCGGCGGAGTGCCCATCTGTGGACACGTCGGGGTCGCCCAAGAGGCGGCCTCGGGACTCGCCAGAAGTGCTCCTGGCCCAAGGTGCCCACGGGGACGTCCGAGGAGGCCCCCGCGGCCCCCGGAGCACGCCCTTTCGAGGCACAGAGGGCCTCCTCCTCCTCCTCCTCCTCCTCCTCCTCCTCCTCCTCCTCCTCCTCCTCCTGGACCCCCCTCTCGCCCCCCCATCGCGCGGCGCCGCGCGGCGCCCCGCCCGCTCTGGGCGCGCGCGGTGCCCCGCCCCCCCGGGCCAGGGGCCAGGGGCCAGGGGCACCTTTTACCCCGACCTACCAGGAGGGCTAAACAATAGCACCAGGGCGTCGGCTTCCCAGTTTCTGTCGAGGTCTGAGGCAGTCCAGATCGGTTGAGAGGTCTGGAGTCCTAATCTTTAGCACTCAGGGTAGCAACCCCCGAGGGCTGGTGACCACGGGGGGGGTCGATATCGTGGCCAGGGCCATGCAGTCTCCCAACTATTATAGTCCCCCCTGGACGGTCCAGCGTTCCACCGCGGGGGCCGCCCGTCCCAAAGCGGCCGTACAGTCGTCATACCCAGCGCACCGATTGCGCGGACCTTCGCGCGCAGGTTGCCCGCGCAGGGCAGCGACATCGCGCAAGGCTGACTCAGGAGGGGAAGAAGCACACAGACACAATTCCTCGTCGAACCCCCGGAAAATGTAGGACATATTGGGAAAGTGGGGGGAGGGCAAGACGAGAACCCAGAAAACATAAGAAAATGGTTGGATTTGTGTCTACGTATTTGCGTGTCTCCGCGGGCCCCTTGAAGGGCCTCCGCGCCATCGCGCGCAAGACACTTCCTCTGTCCGCTGCGCCGCCCGCCGCGCCCACGCGGCGGGCGGCCTCTTCTCGGCGGAAAAGGAGGAGGAGGAGAAGAAGAGGAGGAGGAGGAGGAGGAGGAGCAGCAGCTTTCGGACCCTGCACCACCCCTTGCCCGCCGAGCGCTTCGTGGTGGTCTCGCCCTTGCGCTGCCCGGGGGGGCAGCGGGGCCGATAGGCAGACGCTGGCAAGGCCGAGGACAGCTCGGAGGAGGGCAAGGAGGAGGAGGAGGAGGAGGAGGAGGAGGAAGAGGAGGAGGAGGAGAAAGGAGGAGAAAGAGGAGGAGGAGGAGGAGGAGGAGGAGACAGAGGAGGAGAAGGAGGAGGAGAAGGAAGAGGAGGAAGAGGAGGAGGAGGAGGAGGAGGAGGAGGAGGAGGAGGAGGAGGAGGAGGAGCGCTACCCTTCGCCCGTTTTCCTACTTTTGGGCCTCCCGGGAGACCCTCGTCGCCACCGCTGGATTCGCCGCGAAATCCAGGTCAAAATGCACCCCAGGAGAGGCCCAGGGAGTAGCCGTATCGGTACCCTTCGGTCTCCCCAGCAGCATCCCGCTCGTGCCGGCGTGGTGGGAGCGGCGCGGCGGCGCCTCGCCGACCGGTCTTTGCTCGTGTTCTTTTTATTCGGCCGGGCACGTTTCGGCCGAGGGGTGGATCGCGCGGCCCTCGCCTTCGGCACCTTGGGACGGACCGCTGGCCGCACACCTTCCGGCACACCTGTCCTCGGTGCCCGAGGCCGCCCGCGCTTTCCCCTCTGGTTTGCGGGCTCTCTCCCCAGACATGCGACGTCCTGATCTTTGTTCGGGACGGCGTCCCGCGGAGGTCCCGAGCCTTTCGCCGGGACTGGTTTGTCATCCCGAGTCTTTTTGTTGACGCTCCCGAGGCCCGGCGAGGGCCTCCAGAGCCCGAAAGCGGCGAAACACACTCTTCCGTCCTGCATTTGTGTACGACGCGAGCATGTCTGGGTCTGTACGCCCAGGGCCTCCCCTCGCGTGCCCTCGCCGCGGCCGCCCGCTTCTCCGTTTCCTTTGCCGTCTCGTGTGCCATCTTCGCCGCGCACGCGGCCCGCCGCCTCTCGACCGCGCTGGGGCGCCCGCCTGCGCTGCTGGCGGAAGAATCTCAAGCAGTGGCGAAGCGTCCTGGCTCGCCCATAGGCCCACCAAATAATGTTCTAAGAACCTCCTGTGGTCTGCACGAAATGTTTTTCGAACATGTCTTGTTGAGACTGTCTTGTTTGAACACATCGGGTTTCTGTTCTAAGAACGTCGTTGTTGTTCTTAGAACACTTCTGAGTTCCAAGAACATGTCGTGGTAGGCCTACAGTAATGCCAGGACGGTCGGCCCCTGCTCAAGAATTTGCTCTGCCGAGAGGAGTGGGCCTGTGACCGACGAAACAACACATCGATTAGCAGGGGATATGTCGACCCCCATCCCAGGCTTCGTGGGGTTTTCGGATGGACCAGAAACTGTGGGTCCAAGTCCGGGATATACGAGGGGGGGGGACGTCCATCCTCGATAGGGGTACGTCTCTGAACAGCCCCCTGGGGGTGTATCCCAGGGTTCCCCTCCTTTTCTTTCGCTGCTTCATTTCTTGTCGAAAGGTCGAGGGGCTGGGGTGGAAACATCGCCTGGGTTTGCGGCCGACAGAGCAAAACGTCCATCACGGGTGAAGATGGCCTCGCTGCGCGGGCGGCACGGGTCGCGCGCTCGGGCGTGAGGAGGACCGCGCTGCGCGCGGCATCCAGAGGGGACGGCGCTCTCGCGCCACCGCCGTTGCCCGTGCCGTGCCGTGTCATTAGGGTTGGGGGTCCTTGTGCTCTCGATGGCCCGGCAGCACGGATTCCGTTCCGAGCCCAGTCGGTGCTTCTTGAGGGCCTGGCGTCGCAAGTTTGCAGCCCCGAGCTTCTTCGCCCCGATGCGTGGCCCAGTCGATGCGGCTCGAAGTATGCCTCAGCAAGAGGGCGCTGTCCAGGGATCCCGTCGTATTTTTGTTCGATCTTGAATCTTGTTTGCAGCGTCGGACCTCTCCGAGCCCCTTCGGTCGCCCAGTGCGCAGCCGAGCGGGCCCGGTTCTCCGCCGGAGTGGTGGGGAGAGATCGGGCCCCGCTCGGCCGCCGCATGGGCGCGATCTGGAGCCCGCTCGTGGGCCGAGTGGGCTGAGACCCCGCACGGTCCCCCCTCCCCCGGGAGGGGTCCGTGCGGGGTCTCACGCATGCGCGCGCGCCTTCGGCACCAGCGGATGCCAGCGCCACGCGCCGTCGGCACCACCGGATGCCCGGAGAAGGCAGCGTCCTGCGATGGTCCATGGCTCGTCGCACCTGCACTTGGGCAACCGCCGTCGGCTGCGGCGTGTCGCTCCCCCTGCCCCGTGCCACCCCGCCTGGGTCAGGGAACGGTTATCTTTCGCGCTCGAGACCCCCCCCTCCCCGGGACGAGGTTGTCATCCTCCCTCGAAAGGAGGGAGATTCAAACATGGTCAGAAAATAGTCCAGCGGCGATTTTCTTGGCATGTCTGGATTATTGAGAACATGTCTGTCCAGGGGGTCATTTATCTTCCAAGATCCGCCTGTAGGGGGGGGCATGCCGCCATGCCCGACCTAACGCCAGGAGGGCGACGTGGGAGAGAGGTAGGCTCTGGCACCGCCCACGTTGCGCCGTCGGGGGCCTGGAGGCCGGGAAGCGCAGGGTGCGACCAGCGTTCGATCCATGCGTTATGTTGCTCCCGTCGCACGTAAAGGGCCACATCCCAGAGATGAGTTCGAGCGCCGGGAAGAGGGTCGAAACAGTGTCGAAACAGTGCCGGAGGAGTGTCTCCCAGTGCCCGACACGTGAAAACCATTGAGTCTCGGTACTTCTCTGGTGCTCGACACTCTTTCTCCTAGTCAAGGCTGAAGTAAGTTGGAGCGTCATAATCCATGTGTGGCCCCCTGCCCTCTGGGTGGGCGCGGGCGGCACCACCACGGCGCCGTCAAGTGCCTGCTGAAGCGCTCCGTGGGCAACGCCAGCATCACCGTCCTGCGCCGAACCTGCGGGGGGGGGCGCCTCCACACCGACGGGTCCCAGAGGCCTCCGGCGGACGGACTCGCCCAACCCCCGCCAGCGGCGTCCGTCGATCCTGGCCCGCGGGGGTCGCGTAGGGCCCAAGGAGGAGGAGGAGGAGGAGGAGGAGGAGGAGGAGGAGGAGGAGGAGGAGGAGCAGGGGGAGGAGGAGCAGGGGAGGAGGAGGGGGAGGAGGGAGGAGGAGGTGGAGGAGGAGGAGGAGGAGGAGGGAGGAGGAGGAGGAGGAGGAGGAGGGAGGGAGGAGGAGGAGGAGGAGGGGAGGAGGAGGAGGAGGAGGAGGAGGAGGAGGAGGAGGAGGAGGAGGAGGAGGGGACATTAGAGAACTGCACATGGTCAGGCAACGTCTGCTCCGCGCGTCGCGCCGCCGGCGCTGGCTTCACCAAGCTTCGGCGCGGCACGCCAAGCGTCGCCCCCCTCTCCAGGCAGCCTCCGCTCCGAGCGCTTCCCGGCCCCGCGCGCCACGGAGCCGAGCGACACGCTGCCCGCCTACAAGGCACCGCATGTCGCCGGGGCCGCCGCCGCGGCACGCGCTTGGCATCGCTCGGACGTGTGCGTTATTTCCTCGGCGAGGACCATCGAGGAGCATCCTTGATCATTTGGCGAAGAAACCACGCGCGAAACCAATAAAAAACACAGGGAATGGACGTCCGAGCGATGGCCAGCGCGGAGCAGAAGCTCCACGCCTCAGCCCAGACATCCGACGGCTTGCTCTTTCGTGACTCGAGCTGGGTGTGGGTTCTCGTCTTCGGCCTCCTGGGCCCGTCAGTCATCGGGCCCCGGTGCCCTCGGGAAGGGATCTGGGACGGCCCACCTCTCTGGCAGGGCATTCTGCAGTATGGATTATGAGTGGATCCTGCATGGCTGCATGCTTGTTTCCATCCAGGGCGTGGATTTGCCCGAGGATTCCGCGGCGCGAGCCATAGAAGATGAAGCAATAACAGTTGGCATGAATTCCAGTGTGCATTATGCAATGGCTTGTCCCCCACTGCGAGCCATGTGCAATCACGTGGAATCAGGGCGTTGGAAAGGCGTGCATTTGCAGAATCCGGCCGAAATTCATGCGATAATCCATGCGGGTATCCATTTGAGGATGTTACGCCTAGACAGCGGCGGTCAGCAAGGAGCAACCGGCAAAATACATCCACGCGTCGCGTCTGCAAGATGTCCTGCCTGACACTACCCCGGGGGAATGGTCGGGACCTTATCTCTGGGCTTCGTATTGCACGACTCACATCCGGACACCTGGGAAGAACTGCGGCGCCCTGAGATCTCCCGCGCCCCGCCTTATTTTCTGCGGTTGTCTGCTCATGGGGCTCTTCGGACAGGGCTAGGACGAGGATGCATGCGCTCCAGAAAGTTTCGGAACGCTCGGAGCGCTCTGTGAAGGCCGCGGCGCCGGAGGCATCCTCCAGAGCCGCCGGCTCTCAGAGACTCCCGATCTGTCCTCGTCCGCATGTGTCCTCGTCTGCTTAGCATCGCTCGGACGTGTGCGTTTTTTCCTTCGGCGAGGACCATCGAGGAGCATCCTTGATCCTTTGGCGAAGAAGCCGCGCACGAAACCAACAAAAAAACACAGGGAGCGGACGTCCGAGCGGTGGCCAGTTTATGGGCTTCGGCCCAGCTCCTGGAGCCCCCGACCACCCGTGTCGCTCGGGTCGCGCCTCGGGCCCTCCTGGGTGGATCCCTTGGGGCCGCCGGCTCTCAGAGATTCCCGATCTATCCTCGTCCGCGTGTGTCCTCGTCTGGGCTTCGGCGGCTTCGGTCCAGCTCTTCGAGCCCCCGACTACTCCACGTGTCGCTCGGGCCGCGCCGCGGGCCCTCCTGGTTGGATCCCCTGTGGGAAACACACACACACACACACACACACACACACACACACACACACACACACACACACACACACACACACACACACACACACACACACACACACACACTGTGGGAAACATCACAAACAGAAACACAGAACACACACACACACACACACACACACATTTTGGGGAAACAACGAAAAATTATCCTGGCGAAGGACCCAACCATATGCAAACGTGAATACCGCAGGGCAGGTGGGACGAAGCAAAAGGAATTCCCAATATGGCCACGAACCGTGTGAGGGGTGCGCCACACTGGGGCGGGGCCGCCATGCGAACCCTGCCACTGAGGCCTTCGGTGGAGCTCCCTATGTCCCTACGGGGCCACGAACCGTGTGAGGGGTGCGCCAATATGGGGCGGGGCCGCCATGCGAACCCTGCCACTGGGGCCTTCGGTGGAGCTCCCTATGGGGCCACGAACCGTGTGAGGGGTGCGCCAAAATGGGGCGGGGCCGCCATGCGAACCCTGCCACTGGGGCCTTCGGTGGAGCTCCCTATGGGGCCACGAACCGTGTGAGGGGTGCGCCAAAATGGGGCGGGGCCGCCATGCGAACCCTGCCACTGGGGCCTTCGGTGGAGCTCCCTATGGGGCCACGAACCGTGTGAGGGGTGCGCCAAAATGAGGCGGGGCCGCCATGCGAACCCTGCCACTGAGGCCTTTAGTGGAGCTCCCTATGGGGCCACGAACCGTGTGAGGGGTGCGCCAAAATGGGCGGGGCCGCCATGCGAACCCTGCCACTGGGGCCTTCGGTGGAGCTCCCTATGGGGCCACGAACTGTGTGAGGGGTGCGCCAAAATGGGGCGGGGCCGCCATGCGAACCCTGCCACTGGGGGCTTCGGTGGAGCTCCCTATGGGGCCACGAACCGTGTGATGGGTGTGCCGAAATAGAAGCATGCGGAGGGTGATGGTGATGATGACGACCATGTTGGTGCTGATGATGATGACGATGACGATGATGATGGTGGGTGATGACGATGATGCTGACGATGATGAGACGAGGAGGGAGGAGGCAGCGGGAGGAGGAGGAAGGAGGAAGGAAGGAACGCGGGGCACCGTCTCTTCAAAACGAGGACCCAACACCACAGGATGGTTGGGAACAAAACAACACACACTGTAGGAAAAAAGAAAGCACACAAAAACACGTGGGAAACACACACGCACACACACACACACACACACACACACTGGGTGGATCCCCTGGGGCCCCAGGCGGCCTCCTGGGCGCGTGGGCGTGCGGCCGCCGGGGGTGGGGGCCCGGACCTCCCAGAGCGCTGGAGACCAGCACTCCAGGCCTGGAGACCTACCCATCTTTCGTTGCAAGTAGGTATTTTTGGATTCCCAGATTCCAATCTGCTTTCAGCGCCTCCCTGCCTCAAGAGTCGAGTGGTTTTCCCTCTTCCCTCCTCTTCAGGAGGCGGGCGGAAACCCAACCTATTTCCAACGCCTTCCTACTTTATGTTTCTACCTACCTCTTCCGACCGAGGGGTATTCAGGAGGGAAAGAAACACACAGACACAATGAATCGTCGATTCCCCAGAAAATATGGGAAAACATGGGAAGTGGGGGGGAAGACAAAAACCCAGAAAATATGGGAAAATATGGGGAATATTTTTATTTGTGTGTCCCAGGGCCCCTTCAGAGAAGGCCTTCTCAGAAGGGCGGCGGGACTCCTCAGAAGCCTTCGCGCCCACTGACACTCGGGGGGACGTAAGACTTAAGACTCGATCCAGCCAGAACTCGGGTTTGCCGACGTTGTTCGACGAGCGCGTCTTGGATCGTGACGGTCCGGTTTTCGTGGGATGTTTGCAGCGGGATTTCGCTTCAGATTTCAGACTGGGTCTCGTCATTTTCGTGATGGCCATGTCGGGCCAACCCGAGTGCCCCGTACCCGAGTCTTACGTCTCCACGAGACAGGTTTTCTGCGTCTTCGGGGAAGGTAGAAACTGTTCTAAAGTCTTGGGGACTTCCGAGCCTTGTGAGGAGGTCCGCCCCTTCTCGTTTGCCCCCTGCGCTTGCCGCCGCAAAAAGGGTCACCAGACCCAAGACGCATCAGCTTTTTGAGCTGCGTCCAGCGGTGGCGAGGAGGGCTCCCGAAGACAATTCTGCCTCGGACCTCGATCCTCGAGATTCTCATCTCGAGGTTCGAGGGGGTCTCGGAAGGCGCACGCTGGCAGACCCCAGTCCCCGATCGTCTCTGATGTGGCGACCCGCTGTCGGAGGCTGGGGCGCAGATAGGGGAACGAAAAATTATATGAACATAAAATCTCAGAGGTCCCCAGATTTCTTTGATCCGCGCTGGACCCCCCTCCCTGGCACGCGGAGCGCGCCAGGGACGGCACCGTAGGCGCCGCCATGGGGGTCCAGCGCCGATCCGAGAAATCCGCGCGGACCTCCGAGTTTCTATGTTTCTGTCATTGTCCGTTCCCCTAGCAGAGGGCCCCCCGCACATTCGGCGCAGACCTTCCTGTCCGTGGGCCCCGGCAGGTCCCTGCGCGTGCTCGTGCTCGGAGACGACTCGCACCTCTCGAGGCCAGGGCGCAAGGTGGCGGGCATGTGAGCAGCGGGTGCCATCTGCCGCAGATCGGGGCGCAAAGCATTGCGTGTGCGAAGCTGGTGGGCTCTGTCGGAGATCGAAGAAAGAACAACGAACGCATACGTGTTCTGAGCTCCGCGCGGATTTCAGGGATTGGCGCTGCCCCCCCCCCCCCTGTGGCGGCGCCTTCCGCGCCGTCTTCGGCGCAGGTCCAGGAAGTCCGCGGTGGACCTCCGAAGCTTGATCTCTATGCAGTGCTTCCTTCCCTGAACGCCTCGAGACACCGAGCGCGTTCCGCTACTTGCAAAAAGCCGACTTGCAAACGTCCGAGAACACACGTGTCTGCCCCGATGTAAATATTGCAAACCCCAATGCCGGATCCGGGCCACTTGCGAGTAGTTGCTTTGCGAGTAGTGGGACGCGCTTGTTTTTCGAAGCCCAGCCGCAGAGTGTGGCTGGCACGTGGGTCGCCAGTGCTTTCTGCCAGGGCGGAGATCGAACTCGTCAGAACCATTCCCCCACACCCGGTGGGTCAGGGTGAGGTTAAGTCGGGCATGTCCCTCTACAGGAGGAATCTTCAAAAATAGTTTGAAACGTGTCTGTGAACGAAAGTTCGACTATTTGTGGTTTTGCTGATTATGTTTGTTTCTTGTTGTTTCTTGTTGTTTCAACTTTTCGCTTCAGAATCTGATTCTCGGAGGACAGGCTCTCCCAGCGTGCCCACTCGAGGTGGGGATGGACGCCCCGAAACCCGAAGGAGACTTCTAGAGGCGGGCCCCATCCTCACCTGAGGGGGGGTAGGTTGCGCAGCAAGGCCAAGGTGTCCCCGGTGACGGTGGGGATTGTTCTTCCTGTGCAGAAATATTGCAAAAGCAAACGCTTTCAAAGGTCCGCGCATTTCAAAGCTCGCCTTTCAAAGCTCCGCGCGCCCCTGGCGCGCGGAGCGCGGCGGCGGCGGAGGCGCCGCCAGAGGGGTCCAGCCCAGATACGAGAACTCCGCGAGGAGCTAGGGCAGTTTACGTGAGTGCAGTTGCTCTTCCTCGATCCTGGTTGAGCTCGTCCAGCTTGCTCTGCATATCCTCGCACGCCTCGCGCCTGGCGCTGCGCGCCTCCTGCTGTGCGAGCAAAACCACTTGCATCCTCACTCCACTCGGGTTCCCTGTGAGCCTTCGCCTCCTCGGTCGAGCGCCGAGGTCGAGCCCCGATCCAGGAGGTCCGTGCGTATGGTCCAAAGGTCCTCAAGAAGTTCCGGATTTCCAGGTCCCAATCTACCCTAGACGCCTTGTGCCTCGAGAGAGAGTGTTGTTCCTTCTGCCGTCCTCTTCAGGGGGCGGGCCGAAACACAATTTATCTCCGACGCTTCCCTATTTCATGGCTTTACTTATCATTTAAGACAGAATGAGTGGTCCTGGAGGTCTTGTGCGGGATGCCTTGTGCGGTCTTGTGTGGGCTCTGGGCGTCGATTCGCGTTCTCCTGCTTCGTTCTCCTGCGCAAGGCGTCTTGTGCGCGTCTTCTGCGCGACCACAGTTCGCTCGACCATTGCTTCTCTTGAAGGCAGTACTTCTTCTGACCGACGGGTCGGGTTCTTGCCTCTCCTCTGCAGGGAGGGGCTGGGGCTGGTTCTCGCTCGGGCCGGGCTGTGGCCGCCCGATGCGCCACCCGTCGCGGGCGTCCTCTTTGCGTTGCTTGTTGCTTTTTGCGTTGACCTGCGCTGTCTTGCGCCACAGCGATTGCACCACAGGATTCAAGCAGTGGCGAAGCGCCCTGGCGTACCCCTAGGCCTACGAAATAATGTTCTAAGAACCTTGTGTGGTTTGCGCGAAATGTTCTTAGAACATTTCCGGCTGAGGCTGTCTTGTAATAAGACATCGGGTTTCTGTTCTAAGGACATTGTTTTGGTTCTTAGAACATGTTTGGGTTCTGGGAACATGCCGTGGTAGGCCTATAGGAGTGCCGGGACGGTCGGTCCCTGCTCAAACATGGACTGCACCACCTATACACCGGGGGTTGCTAAAGGTGCCCCTGACCCAAGGTGCCCTCAGATTTGCGCTAAATGATTTTGCCCTTGGGGCCCTCTGGGCCTCGTGAGGAGTGCTCTGGAGGCCGTGGGGGCCTCCTTGGAATTTTTGGGGGCACCTTGAGCCAGGGGCAGTTCTAGCAACAGCCGAATTCAGTTGGACCGAGATATAAGATCGATGTCGGTTCGGGGAGAGTGTCCTAATGTCCTTCGTGCTTGTTGTGCGTTCTTGTGCACCCCAGGGACGGTACCCTTGGATGTTCTGTGAGTGTTGGCCGGCGGGTCTCGTGCTCTGGAGGGATTTTCTTTTGTCCTAGGTTCGAGAGCATTGCACCACATTGATTGCTCCACCTAGGTTGCGCCGCATGGATTGCCAGAAACCACTGCTTGGTGGGGTCCGCGATGGCTGCAACGTGTTGTTTCTCTTTTCTCCGTATTGAGACGAGGACGTCGCGGGCACGACACGGAGGACATACTGGGCTTTTTGCCTCTTCGGCCAGCAGGCGCACGCGGTATCACGCGTGCGAAGGCGCATTCAGAGCGCGTCGCATGTCTCTACGTGTGATTTTGGATCGGTCCCTCGCCGCTGTGGCCGAGGTCGGCAGATCGAATCACACGTCGATTCCTTTTGCCGCCAATTATGGACGCATCTCGGCATGATACAGTCAGCCCACACCGTAGGGATGGGCAAGTTTCCCAAGGCTACCCCTGCATCCTTGCCTCCTCGGTCCCTCCTTGGCCGCTCTCGCTGGCCGCGCCCCGCTCGCAAGGTGTCGAAGATACACTCCAATGCCCTTGTATCCTTAACGTGAATCCTTCTGATACGAGTCGACTGTAAGGGAGGAGGAGGAGGAGGAGGAGGAGGAGGAGGAAGACCCAGACCCCCGGAGAAGGAGGAGGAGGAGGAGGAGGAGGAGAAGGGAGGAGAAGGGAGGAGGAGGCGGGCAGCATGGCGCCGCCTCTGGCGCGCCCTCCCCCGCGCGCGGGCTTCTCGCTGCCTCCTCGGGCCGCCCAGGCCTCCTCTCTCCCCTCTCTCCTGATGGGCCTGTCTTCCACCACCACCACCACCATAAGTTGGAGGAGGGGGGGTCCTCCTCGTCGTCCTCCTCCTCCTCCTCCCTCCCCCTTCTCCTCCTCCTCCTCCTCCTCCTCCTCCTCCTCCTCCTCCTCCCTCCTCCTCCTCCTCCTCCCCTCCTCCCCTCCTCCCCTCCTCCTCCTCCTCCTCCTCCTCCTCCTCCTCCCTCCTCCTCCTCCTCCTCCTCTCCTCCTCCTCCTCCTCCTCCTCCTCCTCCTCCCTCCTCCCTCCTCCTCCCTCCCTCCTCCCTCCTCCCTCCCCCCTCCAACTTATGGTGCTGGTGGTGGAAAACAGGCCCATCATCTCCTCCTCCTGCTCTTCCGTAGTGGCCCTTTCTTTGGAGGCGAAAAGGGGTGCGCGCCGTAATCCATTTAAAACGAAAGTCTAACCCTAACAGCACCAGAAGCGAGAGGAGAGAGACCAGGAGAAATCCTAACCCTAACAGCACGATGAAGACGTGGCCTCCCTCAGGTCCCCGTCGTCGCATTAGGGATTCACGAAGCTGGGCGGTTTGGATTGATACATCTGCAGAGAAGACTTAGACTCTCTATCCCTAATGTTTGGGGCCCTCCTAACTTAGGTCCCTCCCCAAAGGGTTCAGAGTATCTTTATCGCTTATCGTCCGAATTATTCTTCTTCGGCTGCTGCCGCTGCTGCTCGAAGCCGAAATCGACGACAACACGCCACATCGGAAATGGTCATATCCTCGGACATCTGGTTCTCCATCTCCCTGGACGTTGCGATGCGATTCGTTCCGTCCGCGGCCCCGGAAGTGCCGACCCTTTCCCTTGGGCCAACTTTCCGCCCCGGAGCCGTTTTTGATGGCCCTGGGTTGCGATGGCGGCTCCCTGAGGTCGCCATCGATGAAAAAACGCCAGGCTGGAAGTAATCACCTCGTCGTAAAGTTAAGTCGGGGCGTGTCCCTCTACAGGAGGAATCGTGCCGAATAGTAGAGAAATGCCCAGGGACGATTTTTCCAGTATGTTTGAGCATGTTTTGCATATCTGTTAGAATTTTGTTTTATCTCCCTTCCAAAATTCGCCTGTACACCTTAGGCGATGCTTAAGAAAACTCAAGTTTTCTGGCAGAGTCTCGATAATTCTTAACGTTTCAATGTAAATCCTAAGATTTGAATGGAAATGTAGGGTTTTTTTTCAAGTTCTGAGACTATGAATTTCTTAACCCATGATTTCTTAAGCATTTCGCAGGGTGTACGGGGACATGCCCGACCAATTCGTGAGTCTGGTTCTCCAGCTCTCGCTGGACGGGCCTCGCGGGGCAGCGCCTGGCCGGGCCTGGCAGAGGCAGCCCCCTGGGGCCGCGGAGGTGCGCGGCGTGGCGCTCTCGGGCCGTCCTGCGCGGCCTGCGGCCAGGCGCTGGCAGCATCCCCCACGCGCGAGGGAGCAGCGCCCTTCCCTCCTCCTCCTCCTCCTCCTCCTCCTCCTCCTCCTCCTCCAAGATACTCTTTGCCTCTACCCTCCCCTCGCTTTCCCCCTTTTGGGCCTCCCGGGCCTCCGTCGTCGCCGCCGCTGGATTCGCCTCGAAGTCCTGGCCAGAGCGCACCCCAGGAGAGATCCTGGGAGCAGCGGCATCGGCACCCTTTGCTGTCCCCATGGGAGGGAGGCCCTGGCGCCGCCGTGGTCTCGAGCTCGGCGTCTTCGCATCGTTTCGGGCCCTGGGCCCTCGCAGGATCCGGCCCGAGGAGTGCGGCAGAGGGAGCTGGGGTCCGGGGCTTTGGCCGTACTTTCGCACGAGGCTGGATCTGTGTGTTGCGTCGCTGGATCTCATGGCCCACCGTCGTTCAGCCAAGCGCGGCGGGGGGCATGTGGAGGGGGGAAGGCTGCGTAGAAGGAGGCTGCTTCTTAGAAGGCGCGGGCCCGGGGCGGTGTCTGCAAGCGTAGGACCAGCGCCTCCTAAGAAGCAGCCTGCTTCCAAGACGCCTTCCCCCCTCCCCCTCTGCCCCGCTCTGCGCGTCGCCACGTCTTCGTCTCGCACCGCATCGCATCGCACTGCAAGCCAAAAACCACTGCCGATTCGCAGCCCGTCCTGGGGAAAGAGAGAGAGAGAGAGAGAACAAAACAAGAGGAAGAAGCAGGAACGGCGCAGGCAGCGTGCTGGTGGGACGGTCTGCCCTCCTTCCCTCTTCAAGCATGACAGCTGCAGGGTGCCATTGCCCTGGTCTGGCGCGGAGCGCTGTTGTCAGGCATTTGCGAAGCGTCCTGGCTGTCCTGTAGGCCTCGAAAGCATGTTCTGAGAACCTCTTGTGCGTCGCACGTGCGTCCTCAGAACATGTCAATTGAGACCGCCTTGACTGGGTGCATCAGGTTAAGATGGGATAAGGGTTTTGATGATTCGAACATATTGTGTTATAAGACAAGGTCGTGGTGTGCCGATATGAATGCCGGGGAGGTCCGAACATTGAGGAATGAGGGGAGAGAGGGAGGAACAAACATATTCGATAGAGACAGAGTTGTTGGGAGAGATGGAGAGAAGCAGGGATGGCTAGGGAGGTTGCCAGAGTGAAGGATGGGAGGTGATTACAGAGTGATGAGGGGACGGAGGATTGGGTGGAGGATGTAGAAGAACACGACCGTAAATATGGACTTCGTAGATCTTAGTAATTACGCCCTTGGCCTGTGGGTCCGTCGAATTTTTTCGTTGGTAGCATGGATGGACGGGTCAGGGGGACCAGTACAGGGGGAAAGTTATATCGGATGGGTGAGATGGGAGAGCAGGAGTGAAAGGAGATGGGGTTATGGGCTGCGGAGGTGGAGGGGAGGATGAGGAGGAGGCGAGGAATGATGAGGTGGAGCACGCGGAGGAGGAATGCGGGGGATGTCTGCAGGAGGGAGGATGAGAATGCAGCACAGGGGCACACGAGAAGGGGAAGGACAGAGGAAAAGGGACGTACAGGACGGTGGTGGTAGTCGCAGGAACCAGGTGGCAGGAGTGAGACGTCAGAAGAAATGGGTGAGGAGCGATGGGTGTTGAAAAGGAGGAGGAGGAGGAGCAGGAGGAGGAGGATGGTGCGATTTAGAGGAATGGTCTTGGAGAGGAGGATGGGCCACCTCTGAAGGTTGTTGATGGTGATCAGAAAGTCGAAGCGTGCAAACGTGTATGGCGCAAGCAGCAGGCAGGGAGGACGACAGGACATACGAGGTGGCCACCATCTGCATATGAGGCTTGACATCGACGTATCCGATGCAAGAGCACGCGACCGATGGCCAGCGCATTCGTGACAGCCGCTGGACGAAGATGAGGAGGAGGGGCTGGAGAGCCGCTGCGTCGATGCCGCCTCGCCGCCGCGGCCGCGACTCTGCACCTCCGGCGCGCCGGCGCCGCCCGGCCGCCGCCGCCGCCGCCTCGCCGCCGCCGCCGCCGCGCCGCCGCCGCCGCCGCCGCGGGCGCGCCCGGAGGGCGGCGGCGACGCCCACCTGGAGCTGCTTCTGCGGCAGCGCCCGTGGCGCCTTGCTGCCGCGCCTACTGCGCGGGCGGCGGCCGCTGGCGCCGGTGCGCGAGAGGGGGCCCAGGCTCGCCGCGGCTCCGTCGCCGCGCCGCCGTCGTCGACGCCGTCGTCGAGGTCGTCTCGCCACCGAGGGCTCCGAGAGGTCTCCCAGAGGGCCCCGAGAGGCAGTGATCGCTGATTTTCGATGGGTTTGGGGGGATCTTTCGACTCCTTGCCTTTTCGGGCCTCCGACGCTTCAAAAGATCGCCCAAGGACGGCCCAGTAGGCCCCCAGCTACAGGGCGCGCCCAGGTCGCGCGCCTCGTGGAGCTTCTGCTTGCAGCTCCTGCTCCTGCCTCCAGCCCTTCTCGCCCTTTTCGTTCCCCCCTTCCCACCGCTTCCCCCCCTCCCCGCCCCCCGTTGCGGGACCTCCCTGACCGTCCTCGTCCCTTCCTCGTCCTCTCTCTTCTTCGTCGCCCTCCTCTTCGTAGCACGCAGCATCCATAGCGCCCTCCTCGTCATCGCTGACCTTCTTCCGGCTCCGCCGCTGCCTCCGCCTCTCTCTTCCCATCTCGGCAACACGAGATGGTGTCGTGTGGCGCAATGTGCAAATCGGACATGCACGGTGGACATGGGTGGCGGAGGAGGAAGGGGAGGATATGTAAGGGCTGGGTGAGTTGGAGGAAGAAGAGGAGGAAGATGACGATGGTGATGATGATGCTGCTGCTGATGATGATGATGAGGAGGAGGAGGAGAAGGAAGAGGGAGAGAGGAGGAGGAGGAGGCGGAGGGAGTCGGCTTGAAGGGAGAAGCGGGGAGGAGGCGGAGGAGGAGTTGGAGGTGATAGCGTCGGAGGACGTGGACGAAGCGGTGACGGGAGAAGGAACAGGAGAAGGAGCATGAGGTTGCGCGAGCATGTGCGTGTGTGTGAGGCAGGAGTGGACCTATGGGGAGGTGGGCAGGGCGGAGGCAGGAGGTGGCGGCTGTTGTTGTTGGACGCGAGCAGGGACAGCCCGAGCGCCTCGCACCGTGCTGCCGCGTTTCCGAAGCAGCGACGTCTCGATGAGCGTGTGCGTGCGGATGCCCCCACGCGGGGCGCCGCTGGATCCGCCGCGCGGGCGGGTGCCCTCACACGCGGCGCCGATGGCTTCGCAGGTGACATCCTGCTGGTGCCCCCCCCTGCCTCTGGGGCCCTGTCGCTGAGGCGTGGGGAGATCGGCATCCGCAGACATCCGACGGTGTGATGCTCCGAGTGCGCGGCCCCAGGGAGATCCCGACCCACTGCCCGGGGCCAGCTTCGCGCCCCGTCCACTTCTGATGGCCCTGGGGCCCGCTGACGGACCCCGGAGCGATCCGGGCCAGTTTCGCGCCCCGGATCCACGTCTGATGGCCACGGGACCCGACGACGGGCCCCAGGGCGATCCGGGGAGAAACGCACGGAGGGACGATAGCCAGCTCGCGGAGGTTCGGGTATATGAACACTCGGTCACGAGGCCGGAGGGGGCAGGGATCGGCACGTGATGGAACCATGAGAGCCGACGACGCAAAGCAAAAGCATCATCGTGAGAAGCCACGGCCAGAGCCCCGGACCCCATCTTTCTGCAGAACGTGTCGAGCCGGATCGATATGTGAGGGCCCTGAGGCTCGCAATGATGCGGAATCAGCAGGCCCGAGACGATTGCGACGCCAGGGTCTCAGGGAGAGGCGTTGCTCCCTCGTGCGTGCTGGATGCCCGTGCCTGGCCCCTGACCTCGCGAGACCGCGGGGACGCCACGCACCTCAGCGGCCGTTAGCTGCTGCTGCTGCCGGCCTTGCCCGAGTGCCCTGCGAGGCTCGTCGGGCGAGACCTGGACCAGCAGGTTTCCGACGATTTGACTCTTTCAACCTGGCGGCTTCTCATCGATTTCGACCTCCAGGGGTCGGGGCCGAGGGGGCGCGTTGGCTAGCGGGCGGGGCGCTCCCGAGGAGGTGTTCCGTGCCGTGCCGAAATACAAAGGCCGGGCCGGAGTGGGCGGTGCCGCGCCGAAAAAATCGGGTCGAGGCGAAGGGGGCGCTCTGGCTGGTGGGTGGGGGGATGCGGAGGGGGCGCGGGCGGAGGGGGCGCGCTGGCTGGTAGGTGGGGGGGAGCCGTCGTTGCGCCCCAGGGCCATGATAAACGGATCCTGGGCAGGAGCCGGGCGGGGCTTGGCCGAGGATATTTTTCTGTTCCAGAGCGTGCTGGAACGCCCTCGGGCCGAGGCGGAAGAGACATCCTCCGGAGCCGCCGGCTCTCGGAGGTTCCCGCTTCATCCTGACCCGAGTTTGATCCTCGTCCTGGCTTCGTCTTGCAGATTTGGCGCCGGGCAATGGGTCGGGTCCTTCCTGGGTCCTGGAAACGGCAGGGCCGTTTCTTCACCGTTTCCGAAAAATGTGTCAGTTGAAAATAAAACGGCCAAACAACGGCAGCCTGAAACGGCAAGAAAGTGGCGTCGGAACGGGCAAAATAACGGCAAAACGGAACCGGTAACAAAAAAGCCCTGTCGTTCCCAGGGCCCGTTGAGGTCATGATGTTCCAACCTACTGTAACCTGGATCACCAGCAAGAATTTCGAGCACCAAGAAACTATCGAAACTCGAGGGTTTTCACGTGTCGGGCCCTGGGAGACACCCGTCCGACACTGTTGTTCAGGAAGAAGGGGTCGTCGGACGGGACTAGGATTTAAGTCGGGCGCGTCCCTCTACATGAGGAAAATGCAAGAACAGTAGAATCACTTGTCTATGAACGTGTTTTATGGATCGCTTCGCTCATTCCGCCGGCCCTGGAGACCTCTGTAGGGCCTCTTGGGGGCCTCTTGGGAGTCTCTTGGGGCTCCTTGGCTGCGTCGTGGGGACCCCCAGGGCCTCTTGGAGGGCTTTTGGGGGCCTCTTGGGGCGGGAGGAGGGGTAGTCGATTGCGGCTCCCCCCTCGGAGGCCACGATCCTCGTGAGGGGTGTCGAAAAATGGCCCTCCCCTGGAGTGCTCTGGTGGCTGCTCCCGGGACCTTGCTGGGGTACTTTTCGTCCGGGGGCCCCCAGGGGCCGCTCCGCGCGCGCGAACTAGAAATACTGTTAACCAGTTACCGGAGATCTTATTAGCACGCCTCTGGCCCGTTGGGCCAGCGAATTCTTTCATCATGTTTGACTACTGTGGGGTATGAGTAGACTATTTTTCATTAGTCCTCCAAAATCCGCCTGAAGAGGAGGCCACACCCGACCTAAGTTGAGGTAGCTATTCTTTGGTGAAGAAGGTATTGGACGGGGCCAGGACTAGGATAAATCCGGTCCAGTGCGTTCCAAAACGCTCTCGGATCCTTGGCTCAAGTTTGACTCGAGATCCTCAGAGGGGCTGCAGCCCAAAGTTCGAGCTGCCTTCGGCGGGCGCGCGGCCACCCGGCCAACATCGCGAGCCCAAGCCCCATGACCCCCAAGATCCTTTTGCCCTGCCTGCTCCTCGGCCTCGCGGAGGCTACCGCCTACCCATCGTGCGACGCGACGACGACAGAAGCCTTCCTCGAAGAGACGACGGAAGAGCCAGCGCCGGACATCCCCTTGGAGCTCCAAGTTCAGGGCCAGAGCGGCAAGTTCACTCTCGTGCCGAAGGGCTCGTCGGGGGCCTCTGTGGGCATCCGCGTGACGATGGACGCGCTGAGGGAGGTGGACGCAGATGGCAACGAAGTGGGTACGTCTGGGGCTGTGAAGCATTCGATCAACACCTTTGCAAGCCAGGACTTTACGGTGGGCGATATGGAGACCGTCCGCATCGGCTCTGGAGTATCTGCCGCCAAGGTGTCGTTCGATTCAAGCATCTCGGAGATCGGACGAATCGGCGTCGACACCTACGTCATGGCCCAGTCGGGAACGGTGGGGATGTCCAACGAGTCGTGGGACGTCAACATCGGAGACTTGAAGTGGAATATCCGCCTCTGGGACTGGACCTGGTGCGACGGCTCCAACTGCAAACAGGGCCAGACCGAGCAGGTCGGCGCGTTCGTCGAGCTCGACATTACGGTGCAGAATTTGGGGGGTGGGAGCGCCAACCAGGGCAGCGGGAAGTCCGTGTCTCTGGGCAGCAACGCGACGCTCGAGCTGTCGACGCAGGTGCAGAAAGACTGCGCGTGGGAGCAGCTGCCGGCCGAGTTCCCGTCCATCAGTACCCAGGGCAGCCAGACCACCGTCACCTTTCGCTTCCCGCGCTTCGAGACCTCCTGCCTGTACGATCCCGTTCTGTCTGGCGCAGCGGACGAGATGGGTGTCGACGTTGACTCTCCCACCCCGGCCCCAGCGCCCGATGATGACGTGGCTAGCGCGGCCGCGTCGGCCACACTCGGCGCCGCTGCGCTCTGCTCCTTGAGCGCGGTGGCGGTTTGGGGCTAAGAGTCGCCAAAGAGCGTCCTCCAACATTTCACGTGCAATGCCCCTATGCCTCGGCAGAACTTTTATGGAATTCTGAGGTAGGCGAGACCCGTCTATCACGGGTGTGGAGGCAAGGACGAAGTTGTTTGGCTCCACCCCACGATCAGGGAGGCTTTTCCTCCTCCAAGCAACGGATGGGCGAGTGGAGTAGCTTGAGCTATACTTGGCCGCGGGGTCAGGCTGGTGCCCGTCCCTTGCACGAACCCGCGTTCGGCTGTTCGGCGCTCCCCTCCGTGACGGCACGTGCTCCGCCCGCGGGCGTGGCAGCGCGTGTTTTTTTTGTTTTTTAGTATAGTGTATCATTCAAGACAGTGTGCGCGAGAGGTCCTCCTAGTGATACCGCCTCTCAATCGGGACCGCGCGTGCTCCGCGCGCCAGCTCGAAAGCGCGCGCAGCTCACTGCAGGGCAGCACGCCCGAGAGTTGAGCTTCCGAACCTCATCATCGGGAAGTCTGTTCGGCCTTGTTAGAATAACAAAAAAAAACGCTCTCAGATCCTTCTGGAACGCTCCGAGAAGGGCGCAGCACCCGAGACATTCTCCATAGCCACTGGATCTCAGAGATGCTCGATGTAGCTTCGCCCGAAGTTACCCGCGCCCTAGTTTCTTCTTCGATGAGGGCGAGGATAACCGAGTGCCATTCTTCCTCTGCTCGGGATGTCTCTGGTAATCGAGAATTAAAACAACCCATAACGATACTAACACAATGAGGACGTAGCCTCACTTAGGTCCACGTCCTTGCATCAGTGATAATCATCATGGGTGGCTTGGCTTGATGCATCTTCGGAAAAGAAGCCCTATCCCTAAGGATTTGGGCCTCTGACCTTAGGTTCTCTCCCAAAGGGTTAAGGGTCAGTTTATTTCTAGGCCTCCGAGGTGGTGTCGAAGCAGATGGTGTCGGAGGATCGCAGCGCATCGCCGCTGCATCGCCGATGTGGCGCGATGTGGAGCCCGATTATCTCCACTCCGACGCCGCCGATACGCCGCCGACGTCGCCGATGATTACATCGGCCATGCGTCGCCGATGCATCGGCGATGCATTGGCGATGCGGCGCGATCCTTCGACCCCATCTACTCGGACCCCATCCAGGAGGCTCCGATGAATGCTAATCATTTGGTGGGCCCTCGGCGGCCGCCGGCCCAGCGCGGCTCGAGATGGGAGGGGCCCCGCGGATGGGGTCGGGCCTGCGGGCGGGACCGGGGAGAGCGGGGGCGGCCTTCGGAGGAGACGGCGGGAGGCTTCCCCGAGGCCATCTCCGAGAAGCCCTGGCCATGCGGGAGGGGTGTGGCGGGAGGGGAGGAGATTCCCAGAAGCTCCGAGGAGGAAAAGGCACCCGCGCCGCTGCCCTCCGCCCGTCGATTTCCCCTGTTTGTCTGGCCTCCTCAGAGACCCTTGTCGCCACCGCTGGATCCGCCTCGAAAGTCAGAACGCACCCTGGGAGAGGTCCGGAGAGCAGCGGTTGGCCAGGGCATAATACACGAATATATAGTGCTCACGGCAAACCCATCATGGGCCACCAAAGGGCGTCTTTGCAACGCCATAGGCCTTCCCTTTGCAACGCACAGGCCCCCTCTTTGCAACGCCATCGGCCTGCCGTTTGCAACGCGCAGGCACCCTCTTTGCAACACCATTGGCCGTCCGCGCGCATAGCATCGGCCCCCTAGTTGCAACACGCAGGCCCCCTATTTGCAACACGTGGTCTGTTCATCAGCTAGGAGCTAGGACACCTTCAAGTCAACGCGGGGGCGCCATTTGGGCCATAAGTCGGGCGACATAGGGACATCATATATCAACTCTTCCTCTTAAGATCCATTGTAAACTAATCGGTGCACCATCTGGGCATCGCGACCTGGCGTGCATCTGCTGTCTTGACGTCTTGACGCTTCGCGCGTCCCCACCATCCAGGAACGATGCTGCCGTGACCAGGGAAGTGCAGAAGCAGACGATGCAATATAGAGGGGCGCAGCCTTTATCTGTGGATCGTGGAAGAGGGAAGAGGGAAGAGGGTTCCAGGAAATGAGGAGGAAATTGAGGATGGAATCAGACGACGACGCGTCGCGCGCTTGCCTCGCGCGCGCGCTTGCTTGCACCCGGGGGGCGGGAGAAGGAAGAGAGAGAGAGAGAGAAAGAGAGAGAAGGACAAAGGAGAGAAAGAGAGAGAGAGAGACATAGAGAGGAGGAGGAGGAGGAAGAGGAGGAGGAGGAGGAAGAGGAGGAGGAGGAGGAGGAGGAGGAGGGAAGAAAGGAGGAGGAGAGGAGGAGGAGGAGGAGGAGGAGGAGGAGGAGGAGGAAGATGAGGAGGAGGAGGAAGATCGAGGACAACGACGTCGATGACGACAGCAGGCAATCCTACAGGCATTGGCAGGCTTGTCGCTCTGCGAGCTTTTTGGAGGCCTCTTGGAGACATCGTGGGGCCCTCGCGGCTCTTGGGGTAATGTTGGACGTGTACGTAACACTCCTGCCCTTGGCTCTTGGGGCGTTTTGAAAGCCTTGGGGTTTGGGGTTTGGGGCTCTCTGGGTTCTTGGGGCCCCTTGGGGGTATCTTGGGGCGTCCTTGGGAACCTCGGGGAACTTCTTGAAGCAATCCTGGGGGCCATCGGTCGAAATTATGATGGAAGGTGGAGCACTCCGTGGAAGCCGTTGGTTTGCGGCTGACGGGGCCCGACAGGACCAGCTCATGCGCATCCCCCTTTGCGCATCCTTCTCCTCATCCTCCCCCCTCTCCTCCTGCAGCCATTTTGGCTCGGCCATTTTGGCCATGTCGTCGGACGACGACTTCATAGTATTCTGCCCCCCCGCAGCTGCTGCGGGAGGCGATGGCCACATGGACGTGGAGGCCCCAGCAGCTGCTGGAGTGGAAGGTGCTGCTCTGCGAGGCCGCGGGAGCAGACGGTGGACGCAACAGCAGAGAGAACGAGAGGGCATGCGCATGATTGTTGGCCGCGTGGCGAAAACGTTGAAGACGAAGATTCGCAGGCAGGCTGACTCCATCAACAAGTTCGCCGGTGAGCTTAGACGCGCTGGCCGTTTTTGGCAAAACATGGAGTTGATTGAGAAAAAATGGTCTCGACACTGACGGTGTGCAGTTGGTACTGCGCAAGAAGGGCTCGACACGCAAAGGGCGGGCCATCGCGTTCTCGCGGGCTCGCATGCTCGAACTTGCGCACGTCAAGAGGCACACAGTGACTGGTATTGCCGAAGCGCACAACACTTCCAGGAAGACGGCGCGCAGGATCACCGAGATCGTCGCCTACGCCGAGGTCGAATGGGACGGCTTCCTACTCAGGGACTTGCGCCGGCTTATCCAGCACGACAGGCCAGAGTTCGCAGGTGTGAGACTCTCGTGGGATGAGACTCAGGACTCCAGGCATCAAAAAACCAAAACCTGTATCATCGTCGTCACCTTCATCCTTCATCCTCTCGCCTCCCCATCCATGTTTTCAGGAAGTGGGCTTCCGTGCGCCACGTTGTGCCGGGGGCGTGTCCTCGCACGAGCCCAGGAGCCGTAATACGTAACGCCTAACATATACCATGTCACATGTGACTCCTCTCATCAGTGAGGGCCTGAGGCTCTCTTCGCGTTTACCCTGGCCGTCGCGGGGCTGTCTCGGGCTCTTATAGGGCTAGCACGGGGCCGTCTTCAGAATCTTGGGCCCCTCTAGGGCAGTGTCGGAACCATCTTGGGTTGTCTTAGCGTCGTAATGGGCCGTCTAGGGCCCGTCTCGGCATTCTCGGCCGTCTTGGGTCTTGGGACCCCCATCGGCCCTTGGAACCGTCTTGGGGCCGCCTTGGGCCGTCTCCGTCTTGGGGAGACTCCTGCTCGGGCCGTCTTGGGGCCTCCTTCGGCCCTTGGGGCTGTCCTGGGCGGTCTTGGGTTCTCAGGGCCCTCTCCCCTTAGGCTCTCTCGGTCCCTCCTTGGGTCCTCCGAGGCCGTCTTGGACTCGAGGTTTGCGCTTCTACAGGAGTTGGTCAGCTCGAGTGCCATCAAAGACGCGACTCGACAAAGCCATCGTGGGAGTTCACGGGGGGCGTGCGCGTCCAGCATGACATTCTTCTGGGGCAACAGGTCGGGAGCCCAGTTCTACGAGGCGGTGTCGCCGCCTCTGCCGCTGCTGAGCAATGGAGCTGACCACTTGAACGCAGCCATGCGCAACCACCCTCTGATGAAACCAATGGTAGAATTTCAGGAGTGGCTCGCGGACCTCACTGGCATCGCGGACCTCACTGGCATCTGCTTTGCGATCCGCGAGGCAGGTGCGCATCCCGCCAACGTTCGATTGCACGCTCACTGGAGAAATGAAGACACGAATACGTTGAATAGTCCACCCCTGGCGCTCTTGGCAAGGTGCACGAACCACCAGACAAACATTGTCTGCGTGTCCACAGTTGATCTTGTAGGAATGAAAGTGATCAATGACATGTATGTGGCCGTGCGATTCTTCAAGGTGGGTGGACGCTGCGCGCGCATTGTCGCGACCGTCCAGGTGTATCTCCAGGAGAACAATCGCGAGCGCGTCATTCGGAATCGCGCGCCATCTGCGCAACAGGTCGCGCAGGCGAGGATATGCGCTGAAGCACCCGTCGCCTTCTTGATCGACACTTGGAAAGGCGATGTTTCCACGCCGGCAGGAAGATCTGCGAAGGAAAGGCGCAGCACGGCAGTCCGAAGATGCTTTACACATACGTTGTTTGGCCCGACTTGGACGTCAACTGGGACAATCGTCATTTACGACATTGGTCAGTGCAAGAGCATGGATCAATTGGTCATTGAGGTGGGGGCGACCATTCGAGAACTCCTGTTGCCCAATATGCCTACAGAGCCAGTGCTGGCCAAATGGACCAAACTTATGCCATGTGCTAAGTTTTACTTGCAGACAGGCGTGCGCGGCCTCCTCCATGAGCTGATCAAGATTGCAGGCGGGGGTTTTCAGCACCCACAACACGACAACCCAGTGAACTTCGGAGATGCGGCGGCCGACCCGGGCGCTGAGCTTTTTCGGCATCAACTTGCAGGCGTCCGATTGCGGAGGACATTGAGCTTGACGTCCAGCTTCGAACACCGCTTCCACATACACCTCATCTGCGTCGCAGTCCAGCCCTGCCGGCTACGACATCAACACTTCTTGAAGTTGGCGAACAGGACGCTGGACATTGAATATTCCGCGCGCCCTATCCCAGAGGGGCAGAGGGGGGGGGGAAAGGCGCGAGGGGGGAGGAGGAAGCATCAGGAGAGGTAGGAGGAGGAGGGGCGAAGAGGAGGAGGAGGAGGAGCGCTGCAGGAGGAGGAGGAGGAAGAAGAGGAGGAGGAAGGAGGGGCCCGAACGACTCACAAGGAGACGCGCGCCTCGGAAGGAGACGCGCGCCTCGGAAGGAGAAGGAGGAGGAGGAGGACGAGGAGGAGGAGGAGGAGGAGGTCGAGAAGGAGACACGCGCCTCGGAAGGAGAAGGAGGAGGGAGGCGACAGGAGGCCACGCGCGCCTCAGAGCGAAAAGGAGGAGGAGGAGGAGGAGGAGGAGGTGGTGAGTCGTTCGGGCCCCTCTGGATTTCGAGCCCCCTGGAGGACGGGGAGGAGGGAACAGGGGGGGGAGGACAGACAGGAGGAGGAGAAGCAGGAGGAGGAGTGGCCAGAAGGCGAGGAAGGCACGGGGCCCTTTGGGATGGGATTCGAAATATCAATGAACAGTGGTCAGGGCCGTCGATGTGAGCAGGCGCCCTGCTGTGTATCAGCTGATGGATGACCGCGCGAGCCTTCCGCGGTATGTTTGCCAGTGTTACAGTTCAATGGCGCGCGGCGCCGTGGACAGCCTCCAGCTTGTTTGGGGGCGGGGATTATCCAGCCATGAGTCCTTGGAGGGGCGGATGGCAGATCGCCCTGCGCTTGCTCGCGCCGTGCGACGTGCCGCCCTCCACGCAGCTGCCTCGTATGCTCGCAGGTTCCAGGGGGGCGCGGGTTCAGATTGCTCAGACAGTTGGATTTGCGTTCTGGGGGAAGGGGACTGTGCGCAACCACCAGGGGTGTGGGGTTTGGGGTTCAACTAACCGACTAACCGCGTTTGATCACAATCCTCAAAGAGTGTTTGCGTTCGGCTTTGCGGCGCGTGCTATGTTTTACTTGGGTTTTAGGTCTTGATCCTCAAAGAGTGCTTGCGTTAGGCTTTGTGGTACGTGGTATGTTTTACGTAGGCTTTAGGTCTTGATTGTTCGGGGTCCACGCGCGTTTGTAATGCATATATATATATATCGCCCGCTCCAGGTTGCTTGAGCTCTGGAAGAAGCTAGTATAGCAGCTCTTGTCACTCGGAGGTCCCACCGACCGCAAAACGAACATCATCTCGACTTTGAAGGCCACGAACCCGCGCTGCTGCCTGGCAGGTGCCCCCCGGGGGTTCCGCACCCGCGACATCAGCGACAATGTGCTGTTGAGCATTGGCGGTTGCTATGCTGTGTGTAGCCTGGCTCTTCCGACTGACGATCGCGGCCATCGAGAGCAAGCATGCGCGACACCGCCGGCTTTGCTACAAGGCGTTACCGTGGCCTCAATTCGCAGCGCTGGCCGTGGCCCTGGATCAGAAGGAACGCTGGACCGAGAAACAGCAACTCCGACAACAATCCCAGCGACAGCTTCAACTTTGCGGTGCCGTCGACGGCGCTGGCGATGGGGCCGGAGGCGGAGGCGGTGGAGGCAGTGCCAATGACGAGCCAAGACCGAGACCTTCCACACGGGGCAAGTCGGCGAAGGAATTGTTCAGGGACGACTGGATGAAGCAACAGAAGGAGCTGGGGAACCGCATAAACGTTGTCTCATCAGAAGCTTGGAAACTACTGGACGAAGCGTGGCTGATGTTGTCCGCTTCCCGCCGCATGGATTACGAGGAGCAATCGGAGTCGGCGAAGGAAGTAGCTGCGGCGGAGCGGCGGCGCCGACATAGAGAGGCTGCTGACGTTACGACCGCCAGCCGTCCATCGGAACCAGTAGCCGTGCAACCTGCCCTGCAGCATGAGGTGGCCGTTGCCGCGCCTCCTTTCGGCATGCGGGATATGAACTTCTCGACGCCGGTTGTGCCGTCTACGGCTGGCCGCTCGCAGCGGTCCGCTGACTTCGACTCCCATGTGCCCGAAGATCTTCCTGTGCACCCGGATGTGCCCGGCTGCTTTTTTCAATGGCGCGCGCCCTTTCGACCAGGAGAAGACGGTGACGGGCGCCCAAAAGGACTGGCGAAAGAAATGTGAACGGATTGCCGGGTCGAGACCGCCCCCGAAGCATGTTGACTATGGTTGCGAATGCGGACGGCTCTGTCGCGTTGACACCGAGACGGGGCATTTTGCTATACCGGGATAGGCCGTTGGCGGCGGTCTTGAAGCTGGCGAAGGATTTCGCTCCTTCTGGGAAACTTGCGAAGTTATCTCTTGCCGATATGGTTTTGGCTGTGGAAGTTTACCCCGTGGCAGCTGCTGCGGATCTCCCAGGTCCCACGGTGTATTTTTACGCCGCGGTCTCGGCCATCGGCCGCTTGAGCACCGAGCCCGAGCACGTCAACTTCTTCGAGCTCCAGTGCGAAGCAGCCGATGTAACACCAAAGGCTCCTTTCGCGGGCATCGCCTTGGGAAGCCGCCGGGGCCTCTTCGTCATGCAGGGGGCCAACGCCAAATCACCATTGCATATGGCGCTGCATGGCCCCATAGCCTTGGCAACCGAGGAACAGGCGACCGCTCTGTGAGCGTCGACTGACGATGGTGGCCCCCGTTCCGACCGCGTTGTCTTGCCTGTTCTGGAGTGGGACTTGGCGCCTGGTTGTTTCGAACGGCATGCAGTCAGTGGTTTGCGCGCGGCCGGAGAGGGCGGAAGAGTGGAGGTCACCTACGCGCCCGATCGCCCGCCTCCAAAGCGCCCCGCTGGTGATATGGCGCGCTTCCTTGACGACATGGACCGGGATGATTTTGCCAGAAACCATGGTGCTCATCATCCAGTTGCAGATGGTGAAATTGCGGGGCTGCCTCTCAAGGATGTCGACCCCTTCGACTTGCGCCTGGAACATATGTTCGACGACGGCCCCCTCGGAGAGGAGCTTCACGGCATGGTGCAGGACTGGCGGATGTACACGCGTACACACGTACACACATACACACATACCCACATACCCACAGACACACACATGCACACATACACACACGCACACAACACGTCATATGTTTTAGAACTGTCGCATCATGCACACACGTACACTCGCACAACGCGCGCACAGACACACATATGACGCACATCATACATCACACAACATACATGATACCTGCATACTGAATACAGCATGCATCCTACACCGCGCAATCGTACAACATACATCATAAAGCATACACACAACCCACAACCCCACACGCCGCACAACATGCAGCATATATTTCAACGTCCAGCGCGCGTGATACGCCATGCACGCGCACAAACATACGTACACGCACACACATACCGCATACCACCTACAGTATACAGTATGCCAGTACACACTATGCAGTATGCAGCATACGCAGCACATAACACAGAAGACACACCAAACATACAAGTATACATGATACGTGATACAGTATCCCCTTTCGCTATGGAGTCCTGAGCCTCATCTGGGAACCATTTTGGGATCCTGGGTCTCAGGTCTGGGCACTCTGGGGATCATCTTGGGATTTCGGGATCTTGGGATATCGGTCTTGGTTTTGGG